CTTGCTTCGCAGTAAGGACTGCAAACTGTTCGGTTATGTGCCTTCCTTGACCATATTCTAAGTGCATTCACTGCCTATAAATGCACAATTTTACACAAACAAAAACAACAACTGCCAACCAGCTGGTACTGTACCATGAGTGTGTTTCGCAGAACGAATTGCAACAACTGCAAGCCGATGTGGTGATGTACTGAGATTGTCTTGAGACAGCTGCATTTTTTTGCAATTTACCTTTGTTTTGCAGGAATTAACGAACCCAACTGTATGTTTCTGTTCTTTGTCTTGATTGATTTTCAAAGTGACTATGTGAGTTGTGATCATATTCTAAGTGCATGTGCTGCCCATAAATTAAATGCACAGTTATACAGGCAAACGGCAAACGCAACAACTGCAAACGGGTTGGTAATGTACTATGCGGCGACCATACGTGTTTTGCAGTGCCAAATGCAAAAAATGTAAACCATGTGGTGTTGTACTGAGGTAGTTTTGCAATTATTAACTCAGCAGCTGCAATTTGTTGGGAACTGTACCTTGCTTGCTTTGCAGTAACAAATTCAACTGTAAACTGTTTGGTTATGCACCTTCCTTGATGGACCAAGCCACTCTGGCAACTCTGACAATATTCTAAGTGCATTCACTGCCCATAAATGCACAGCTTTACACAAGCAAAAACACGACTGCCAACCAGCTGGTACTGTACCATGAGTGTGTCTTGCAGAAAGAATGCAGCAACTGCAAGCCGATGTGGTGATGTACTGAAATTGTTTTGCAATCATGAACTCAGCAGTTACAAACTTATTTTGGCACTGTACCTTGATTGTTTTGTGCATTCACTACCCATACATGGACAGGTTCACACAAGCAAAACCAACAACTGCCAACCAGCTGGTACTGTACCATGCATGTTTTGCAGTGCCAGGTGCAAGAACTGTAAAGCATATGGTGCTCGGATGAAATTGTGTGCAATTATGAACTCAACAGCTGCAAACTGTTTGACACTGTACCTTGCTTGCTTCGCAGTAAGGAACTCAACTGCAAACTGTTCGGTTATGTGCCTTCCTTGACCATATTCTAAGTGCATTCACTGCCTATAAATGCACAATTTTACACACAAAAACAACAACTGCCAACCAGCTGGTACTGTACCATGATTGTGTTTTTCAGAATGAAATGCAGCAACTGCAAGCCTACGTGGTGAGGCAATGAAATTGTTTTGCAATCATGAACTCAGCAGTTGCAAACTTTTTGGCACTGTACCTTGAATGTTTTGTGCATTCACTACCCATACATGGACAGGTTCACACAAGCAAAACCAACAACTGCCAACCAGCTGGTACTGTACCATGCGTGTTTTGCAGTACGAGGTGCAAGAACTGTAAAGCATATGGTGCTCGGATGAAATTGTGTTGCAATTATGAACTCAACAGCTGCAAACTGTTTGACACTGTACCTTGCTTGCTTCGCAGTAAGGAACTCAACTGCAAACTGTTCGGTTATGTGCCTTCCTTGACCATATTCTAAGTGCATTCACTGCCCATAAATGCACATTTTTACACAAACAAAAACAACAACTGCCAACCAGCTGGTACTGTACCATGAGTGTGTTTCGCAGAACGAATTGCAACAACTGCAAGCCGATGTGGTGATGTACTGAGATTGTTTTGAGACAGCTGCATTTTTTTTTGCAATTTATCTTTGTTTTGCAGGAATTAACGAACCCAACTGTATGTTTCTTTTCTTTGCCTTGCTTGATGTACAAAGTGACTAATTATGTACGAGCCCAATGTGGTTGTTTTAGACACAAATTCAACAGTTGTGTCCAAAACGATTGTGGGTTTTGAGACGCCTCGAAAACGGCTGTGAAACACACGATTTGTGTGTTTTTCATGTAATATCATACTATACATGAACATCCAAAATATTCTAAGTGTAGGGGCCTTTTTATTTTTTAAATTCTATGTGTGAATTAACGCAACTCAACAACATATGAAAACAGATATATCCTGGACTCGCGTTAAACACGGAAGTTTGATTTTCCCATATTCTAACTGCTGGTCCTCCACTGTATATATATACAATAACCGCATGCATACATACATGCATGCATACAGACGATCCGCTACGCACATACATCCATGCATGCACCCATACATCCATACATCCACACATCTATATGGATATATATATATATGTATAATATAATATCATTGTAATACAATATATAATTTAATTTAATTTAATTTAATAAACATATAAATATAAATATGAATATGAATATGAATATAAATAAATACAGAGAGAGAGAGAGACACACACACACATATATGTATATATATATATACTGGTATGATATGTATACACGCATGCATGCACGTCCTCTTGAATGCACGCAAGTATTCGCTGATAGCAGGATCATTGTCCCATTCATTTGCCAATGCTTGGGCATGCGGCACACCGATGAAATGGTGCGGACTTATTTTTTCAAAAAAATCACGAATAGGTTATTTGCAAAGAAACCTGGTAATTCAAATAACTTTTCATTTGCCCTGTGCAATTTCCATATTCTTTGGGGGCATTTACCCAGCAGAAAACCCGTACTCATCCCGCAAACACATCTTACAGAAAATTATAGGTTTTGGGCTCCAATTTCCAGGGATGCCTAATAACCAAAAGTCATAACCCAAATAGCAAGATCATCCTGATTAAGTATGTGAGAAGTATCAAGACTTTTTGATAAGACACGATGAGATAAACACAACAACATTATTTTCCCGTTTTTTTCACAGGTTTTTGGTTCCCCTGGCAATTCTTTGTGTTCTTGACAGTGTTTTCCGATGGCCGAAAACCAGCAGACACAATTTTGATTCTCCTGAAAGGGGACGGCTGTGGGGGAGCAAATGACCATTTTGGCCGTTTGCTTTGGTTTGTTCGACTTGAAGTGGAATTTGGACGCCCCTCAACAGCCCCGCAACACCCGGCCAAGGCCACCAACACCAGTGGGGTCCACTGTTTCTGGGGCTATCTTGGGAGAGACATAGAAAGGCAGAATCACCCTCAGCCAATCCCTGTAAGGATGCAATGTGCCACTATGCTCTGCGCGAGAGTGCTGTGACTCCCTACATGCATGGTGAAATTGCTGAAATTCAAAGCTACCACTGGATGCAAATGGTAGATTCAAGTTGTAGCACCTACATGACAATATTCAGACTGAGAATTGACACCTAAACTGTTAAACACATGTGCTAATAGATGCTACTAGATGATAGATGCTAATAGTATCTAATAGATGTCAATAGATGCTAATAGTATCTAATAGTATCAAGTTCCATGGAGCGTAGGGAGATCCTTTCATGATTCGGAAGCTGCTTGGGCACAGAGCCCTCGGTTGCCACCGCAACACCCACAGCACAACCAACCTGCGGTTCAAGGATGAGGGCTCGTGGTGTCCAAGCGCTTGCTTCTCTTTGTAGTCGATACCGACCGGAAAGCTCAATTTTTGGCTGTTTCCAGCCCTGAGGGATGAAACTGGAGCTAAGATATGCTAAAATCTTCATACCACTTCTGAGCAGGTCTGGTCTTTGTATGCGACACTGCGTTCTGTCGTCGGGACAAGCGAGCCAGTGACACCATCCATAGTTTAACAATGTTCAACACACTTGATACCCTGCACTCATTGCTACCCATGACATGCCATCATCTTTGGAAAGTGTGATTTGTAGAAAGTTGTTAGAATCAATTGGTTTCATCGGCTGCAGAAGGTCCATCGGAATCCAGCTGGAACACTTTGTTTCGGCATTTTGGCACCCCTAAGATCCAAAATGATCCAAACAGGAAACAAAGCTACGCAGCTACGCAGCTACGTCTCGATGACGGAAGCGATATGGGATCTTCACCTGCCAGGGTCACCATGGAAAGGTCGAGGCCCTGGAGCCATGACAACTGCATCATGGCGATGCGAGGAATGACACGATGGCGACACTGATCATCACACTGATCATCACAGGATGAATCATCACACTGATGCATATTGATGCCATATTGATGCCATATTGATCCCACTGGGCCTCGGTGTCTCACACCGAAGTCGGAGGCAAACCTTGTAGATCTTGTAGGTCGGAGCCAGAGCGTGGGCGTAGCAAGGCTTGTGCATTTGCTGGCACGAAAAGTGTGTGAGAACGGAGGGAATGAGAGCTTTGTGAGTCTGCGTGCGGGATAATGCCGGAGTCATTTAATCATTTCAATTACTATGTTTCAGTCGGTATGTGCTCGGAGCAGTCTAACCAGGAGAATTGGGCTATGAATGAGACACGGAAGCAACCCAGGAGAAAATCAATTTCAGCCACAGAAGTGCGCCATGGCTTCTTGATGCTTCTTGGCTATTGTGGCTTGGCTTCTTTTTTTACATTTATTTTGTTTTTTCTGCCTTCTTTGGCTTTAGTGGCTTCTTGTAGCATGGAGGGTCTGTTGATTTGATTTTTTGTGGTTTCATTGTGGGCGCAAATGCCAGGAAACACCACAAGGAGATAGAAGACAATAAATAATATCAGGAACAACCGCACCGAGAAGGATTATGAGAAGAACAACAATAGCAACGACAGAACACTTCCCGGCTTTTGATTCCTTTATTTTCTCTTGGGGATTTGGCGTTGCGCAGCCCCCCTTCTTGCTCCACGAAATCTACAATTTATATCCCACAACATGCACCTACCACGAAGTGATATTAGCTACAAGACCAGAAATTGCCTCAACTGGCGTGCAAGTGAGAGTTGCAAACTCCGAACTTGCTGCAAATGGCAGGCAAGTGAAAGATGCACGTTCCAGCATTGTGACATAGCGTGTGAATGAGAATGAATGAGAGATTGAAGCTCCGAACAGTTGTTTTCGTCTTGTTGTGGTTGTGTGGTTTTGATTTGCTTCACTGTGGATTCATCATGTCTTTGCCTGTAGTTGGGATTAATTCTGCTCGACTTTGGGGTGAATTTCATATTTGCAGCCATTGCCATCCTGGGCTCAAAATTGGACCTTATTTAGTCCACTTCCGCGCTGAGAATTGCTGCTCATAGGCCCCCACAGTATCAGCCACGCAGTTGCCTTCGTTGCCTGTTGCTAGGCTTGTTTCCTCCCTCGCACAGCAGGTGACCGCACAGCTGTGGTGGAGTGGATGAAGTGGATGGCTTTTGTCTCAGTGCGGCCTGAAAGTGGATAGTGACGTTTCAATCCGGTATGATTCATGATTCTAGCAGCTGTGGGAAGCAGAAGGCTAGATGCTAGTCATGTGGAGTTGACACAAAGCACTTGCTTGGTTTATCAGCAGTCAGCATCGGACACCGGGAGGTTGCCCTGAACCTGTGCCGGAGGCCTTTCAGGATACATTGCAAAACTGTCAAACGTCCACATCGCCCACTCAAAATGCCTTGCATTTGCTCGTTGGGAACTGCAGTTGCTCGTGGTTTGAGCGCTGCATTTCAACATGTCCAACGCCATGCCAAATCCACAGTGCGAAGCTCCACTCTTTCCCTTAGGCTACACACAGTTTTAAACGCAGCAAGTTTTGCTTAGTGGATTGCCATCCAGCTTTTTGCTGCTCGCGGCAGGTGCTCACCTGTGCAGGTTCTTGGACATCATCGCAGTATGCTTTGCGCCTGCGGCTTTTTCGCATGAATTGCACTGAATCCTGGCGCAACAAAACCCGCCTGCTGATGCTTGGGCCATCAACACGGTTCTGGAACGTTGTGGTTAACTCCGGTTTTCAATGCGTGTGCAATGTGGAACTTGGATGGTGCCTTTCTGCAGCCACTGAAGGGCTTTGATGGTCTCGCCAAAGTGCGGACATGCATGGCAGCCCTCGAAGTGGGCATGGCAGAAAGTCGCATTTCTTGTCGCTTTGCTACTGTCACCAGCATATGTGCAGGCTCGGTCGGAAGTAACGGGAACATCGGCAATGAGAGTCTTTGATGAAGACTAATAAAGATGGATCAGAGTGCTGATGAATCACCTGGCTTTTTCATGCTTGTACAGAATCTTGAATCTACTCACAGTTGTTCAATCCATAGTATGCCTGTAACAACTGCAATGACTTCATATAAATTAAGTCTATATATTACTTTCTATTACTATTACTTTCTTTTTCTTTATTTGTGGTTGTTCTCTCACAAGAAAATGTGCAGGTGTGGCGTTCTATTGCATCAGAACCCGTACGTGCCCGCGGCAGAGTGGGCCCCAGCACGAGGCATCTCAATTTAAATATCCTGGTTGCTTTCCAGGTTGTTTCACTAGTCTTTGAGTTTAACGTAGTGTTCATTTCTTACATTTTGAAGTCTTGGTTGTACCTTGCTTTTGCAATCTGTATATTCATCCTCAGATTCAATCACAGTTGCAACAGGCTCCCGTTCCTCCTGAAGCCTAAGAAGCGCTTCGTGGCATTTCGCGTTGGACGCTTGGTTCAAGCCATGCAAGAGTTCTGACATGTTCTGACCCTATGAAAAGCGCAAATATGTGGATATTGTTTTGTATTGTGGTTCTGGTATTTGATACTTAACTTATAACTTACATTATTAGTTATTGATAGTTATTGCGTAGTCCGCGCTTATACTTGGACCAGTTCGAGCTGAAAGCCTATGTGCTTCGGGAGTTGATGCATGCCTCGGGAAAGATGCAGATGAGCAGAAGAACCAAGGATGCCCAAATAAGATCAAATAAGTACCAATGATTCTTATATTTTCTTCAGACCGCTGAGGAAGAGGTGAAAACACACGACTTCTCCCCTGAAGCCGTTGCGCTGAGGTGATTGGCTGTGCTTGCTTCACCCGTGGGGGCTCAATGTAACTCTGAAGAATGCTGCTGGCAAACCTCTTTTTCTAGCTGAGGAAGGCAGGCATTGGCCATGCATCACCATGTATTGCCATGCATTAGAAATGCATTGCCATGCGTTTCCACTGTATTCATCAAATTTAATTCATCTTTGTGAGGCTCTGCAGTTCGCTGGGTGCCACCTCGGGCTGCCTTCTCCTCGTTCAAGCCTACAAAAGCCTGGGTGCGAAGGGTGCTGACTTTAGAGTCCGTGTCCTTTGGCATGGTGACCGGTGTTGGATTTCAAACGCATGAGGAAAACATAGCCCCAGCATTTTCAGAGCAATGGGGTGCGATTATGCAACATGATTATTGCATGTACATGGCACCAGCAGTCATTGAAAATTCAGACGCCATGTGATGTACTCCTCTAGATTAATCTACATGTCCCAAGGAGAAGAGGAAACACACTGCCTGCACGATGCTTTCAGAACAATTCGGAATATCTCAATTTAAAGTGAAAACATGTGAAAACGGGGTAGATGGAAAATCTCAATAAGCTGCAGCTTTTTACAATTTTTACCCAGGTACCTAACTGAGCTCCACGCTTGGGCAAGATTTGACGCAATACACGGCGATCCCAAGGCCATTTCACGGGCCTGAGACTTGGCACATGGCTGAGAACAGTTCTGATTACAGTTCTTATGATTGTGCGCGATGTATACTCTACTGAGTATCTACTGTAATTGTCTGCAATTGATTTTAATTGAGCTTTGTACTCAAAGGATCTTGAAATGTCTTGAAGGTGCGCTGTTTGGCAACGTTTTGCATTTGCCAAGCATGTGCTCATGTTTCTGAGGCTGACAGATATGAGCGGAGAGACAAGAGCCAAGGCTGACAGATATGGGATTTCACAATCAGACTGAATGCGCAAATGAATTTACAGTGTAAACTCCTCAATTTGCTGCACATGCCAGGGTGGCCCCGAGCAGTTCGGGCGGCAAAGACCAAACAGCGGCTCAACACGTTGATAGTTGAGGCAGGATGGCATTCCTAAATCCAACTCTTTACCAGAGTCATTTTTGGATAAGGCTGTAGGCGAGTCTGGTTATGTTACACTGTGTGTGTTTCAAAGATTGCATTCTTCAACGTTTCAGCAGCGGTTGCTAGGGCAAACATCGAAGCATGTGCGATACGCATGCCCTCACAAACATGTCCATCAAGAAATTCCAGGACGTACAGCGACATGCATACTGTGATAATGATCTGATAATGGTTGGATGTCGATGGATGTCGTAGTTCTCACTCTGGCACTCCCTGTCGCTCTGCGGCAAAATACATTTCGTGATTTCTCACACATCGTCCAAATTTGGCCTCTTGAAATCTCCTGGAAGACATGACCCAAATCTCTGCAAGCTGCCTCGAGGCTGCATCTTGCAGTGAAAGCTCATCAGATGCTCACCTGATACTAAGATTACGGGCAAACACCTCGATTTGCCCGCGCTTGTCGGCGGCCATCTTTGTATGTGCTGAAAACGTGGTAAAAATGGGAGTTTTTTTGCATCATGGCTAACTTAATGTTGTATATCGGCACGCACAGCATAGGTACCTGTGCGAGTCTCTTACACATCATCATCATCATCATCATCATCATCATCATCATCATCATCATCATCATCATCAGACCCTTATTGAAGATCTTCAATGAATGTAGAAGTTTAACGGGGGTGGGAGAATTAAACCCATATTCAAGATCTTCAATGAATGCAGAAGTTTAACGGGGGTGGGAGAATTAAACCCTTATTGAAGATCTTCAATGAATGTAGAAGTTTAACGGGGGTGGGAGAATTAAACCCTTATTGAAGATCTTCAATGAATGTAGAAGTTTAACGGGGGTGGGAGAATTAAACCCTTATTGAAGATCTTCAATGAATGTAGAAGTTTAACGGGGGTGGGAGAATTAAACCCTTATTGAAGATCTTCAATGAATGTAGAAGTTTAACGGGGGTGGGAAATTTATATTCCCTAAATACCCTGGTTGATCTTCCCAATTGAATGTAAAGTCTAACGTTTGATATCCCCAAGTGTACAGCATAGAAGGGGTGTGGGCGAATCGGGGTGTTTGCGCGTAAGATTACTAAGGTATCGTCATGCAATGACTTAAGTTCATGTCAAGAAGCGACGCACAAAGCCATACGTGTACTCAATTGCATGATCAATGTATGACATGCAGCTACTAGTAGAATGTTAGGCACCCAGCTAGAATTCGCATGTGGCCCCGTCTTGGAGCGTAGTGACAGCTGGCGACCCAGGATATCGCCTTGATCCTGGATGGCTCAGAGGGCCAAACTTGCCGCGGGCTCACTGGGAAGCTGCCCCAGCTCCATTGCCTGGCGCCCAACGTGGCGCCAGAGACACAGCAAGCGCTGGAGCAGCTGGACAGGTGCTTCAGCTGGTGTGGCCGGATTGAGGACATGGCCTTTCTATTCCTTTCTGGACGTTTTTGTGCAGTGTCTGAAGGCTGTTTTGATATTTTTTTATTTTTATCATATTTTACCCCACCATTTGGAAATTCAAACCATTTCAACCCACTCTTGTTTCAGCTTCGTTTTGCTTGGCGCTGGTGTCACACCACATTTGACATGTCATTCCGCTCTTGTACAGCTCCTTGATGAAACAACATGAAACAACTCCTAGTCATCGTCTCCGATCAGCACCAGGACTTTCTGCGTTGCGACCTTTCTAGTCTGGGTGCGGTGCGGCTGTGTTACCTGGACCACACAGGGTGCTTTGCATCGCGCGCTAGCCACATCGAGGCTCTTGGGAGAATTGAGATCAAAAAGTCGATGAGAAAACAAAGATCGACTAACGGACAGCTATTGTTTTTCCGGCTTCTTTTGAACATTTTTGAACATCGTCAGTTGAACTTGCAACTTTGTTAAAGATTGATTTGCCAGAGAGCGCCTTCGTACGTGCCGAAGAGCTGACAGCCAGCGGCAAAAATTCACCCCATGACGGTCGTCAGGGCCATTGCGGTCTGTGCCAGGCTGCATTCAGGTCAGGAGTTCTGCGACCAGGGTCAGTCTTGGCCTGCACGTTTTCAATGCGACATTCGCCTGTTGAGGACGCGGAAAAACACTGAGAGGACAAAGACCAAGTAAAGTGGAAAGAAGAGCAAAGGGACTTCAAAAATAGCCGTTATAGTTATAGTCATTTCGTTTGATGTTTCTGGCGCTGCTTGGAGATTGGCAGTCTTTGGATTTGGGTCTCCGGGGCCTGTCAGATGAGATCCTGGCAGGATGTTGCCAGTCGCCGGTGGCTTCCCACGGGGCGCTGGGGGCGCTGGAGTCAAGCTTTGGCGCTCTTCGCGCTGATCACGGTGCTGCGCAGCTGTGCCCACGCGGTTGCCTTGGATGTTGTAGGGATCGACCTGCCAGGATGATCGGGGGTCGGGGAAACAGGGGTTATATACTGGCACTACATGGCACTACTGATTCACGATAACCAATGACATAGTAGTATAAAAAAGTGCAAAACATTATATATAACTTATTATAAAACACTACATAAATGCATCTAAATGCTGTGTTTGTAGTTGGTCGAACATTCTGAGGGTTGTCGTGCAATGGTGGGACGTTGATCGGATTTAGAGGGTGGGATCATATATTGGGACACCAGAATGAAGTGATGTGAGGAAGATTCGCTGGGTCATGCTGGGTCTGACTTTTCGCGAAACTCTGAAAACTTGCCTTCTCGGGGTGAGTTGATGTATCCGGGTGCTGGTCAGGACTGAATGATTACGATCTTTCTCGCGGTGCCTGTGCTGGCCAGATGCAGGCATGAAGCAAAGAGTCGTCGCAAATCTCAACTGCAGCCACCTAAGCCATGGCAGGTAGACTTCACCAATCCTGCTGCTTCTGCAGTAGAGGCACTACGACAAGGTGACAACCTGCGACTGGCGCAGGCGGTGTTGGCATGGTCGAAGGCAAGGTATTTGACCGGGTCGGATGAGCAAGTACTGAGTCGGTTTAATTTAATAATGCAGTCTTTGAGTGGATGTATCAAGTGCAGGCAAGTCCAGAAATTGGCTTGCGTGCCAGGAGCGTTGCGATGACCAGTTGGATTGGCTGCGCGATTCCATTGTTCAGGACTCAGATTCTGGCAGCTGTGGGTGGAATAAAAAAATATCATGCCAAATAGTGTTCCTGATCTATGCGGATGCGATAATATGCGATATGCTCAAGCTGCCGCGTTGTTTTGTTGTGATGGTGTGATGCCTATAGATCTGGAGATTCCAAGTGCTTGTGATTTTTCGATGAGGGAATTTGAGCCTGCGTTCTTGTCTCAACATGTCTCAACATGTCTCAGCGTGTCTCAGCGTGTCTCACCGTTACCCAGGCGCCTAGTGCCAGTCGAGTACTGGAAGCCTGCCAGGGTCAAGTCTTGGGCTGTGCCTGGCGTGGTGGGGGTCAAAGTGGCCTGGCTGCAAGCCCTTTCGCGTTCATGTTACATCATTTTCATAATCGTCATATATTTATACAGTATCTTTGTAAGAAACTTTGTATGACTGTTCAACCTGGTTCAGTCTGATTCCGCATTGACGACGAATGTCTCAAATGTTCTTGTCTAAGTTTGAGGGGAGTTAGGCTTTTGATCGAGGTCGGGGCAGCCCTCATTGCTTGCTGGGTGGCGCTGCGGCTGTGAAGGATTTCATGGTCGTCTTAGTTTGTTTTGGCACCGGTGGTTGGAGCAGAGGCAGCAAGCCCAAGGCATGTGACTGCATAAGAACCATTCCAATGTATTCTCTACCGCAACTCTTCAAACTGGTGACATGGGAACCCTGCCTGCCGAACCCAACCGAACCCAAACATATGGGTCAAGATTGGGGTATGCCATGGTATGCTATGGCTGCTATGGTGTGCCCACACAGGACCGTGACCTTACAGCGCTACGGCGGGCTGCAAGACGTCTTGCTGACAGCAATGAGAGCGGAGCAACTGGATTTGGGGCAGACGGGGCAGCTGGGGAGTCCAAAGTTGACAAAGTTGACACCTTCAGACGCTGCGTCCTGACCTACCCTGAGGAGATGATGTTTTGCATGGTGAAAGTGACAAAAAATCACCCAACTCACTGTATGGTTGGTACGCGGCCGTAAGCCACAATGTAGCACAGTGTGCACAGTGTTCTGAGATTAGGGCGCAGATTTTTTGGCCTTGAAGGGGTGGGCGGAACGCCTTTGGCAAGGAAGGGCTGCTTTTAGACTGGTATTGTATGGTATGGTGGGGTCCTGTTTGCTTTTGCTATTTTAAGGTGAGGCGTATAGCATCGTATAGCCATGACAGAGGTATCGATCTTCTTTCCTCACGGAGTTTTGCTCAAATTGATTCTTAGAGGAAAGTGATTAGAGACATCCAAAGGCGCAACATGGCACGCGTTTCAATGATTTTGACAGACTCAAGCTCTCACTAGGTATCATCACCCAAAATACGTCATGCATTCACTAGACAGTTCGATAGCAGTTCGAGCTGGCAACAAGACTTTGCTTATCGTTTCGACTTCCAAAAGGCTCCGCCATGTTTTCGCTGCAGCCTACCTGAAGCGATACTGGCAGGACATCCAGAATCCATGGACATCCTGTATGATCCTGTATGAATATGCACACATTTTCATTACATTTTCCTCATGACAAAAAGAACCCGAGAATTCGGTGCTTTGTGCACAGTGGAATTCCAGACTTGTTCTGAATCTCCTGTAAAGCAGTGCCCAAATCCAGTTTGAACAAGCTGGGCTTGGCCTAGCAGGTAGCTGAATAAATCACTCATAGATTTAGCAGCCAGGAGCGCACATGAGCCTGGGCGTACTGCACTGCCTGCGACCTGGTCACGGAGGGTGGGAGATGGTGTTCGCTGGGCAGTTTGCTGTTGGTTGCGAGTTATTTGCCATGTCACAGGCCCAACTTGCAGGATGTCCTGGCTCGGAAGCATGTCTCGGCTCGATGAAGTAGGCAGCTGAAGGCCCAGTCTGCATACCTGGTGATGCGATAGCTGCTGAGCTGCATATATTGCATATGGAACAGTCCTACGGAAATGCGCAAAAAATGGTGCACCTTCTTCCTCCACGTTTCCGTTTTATTGTCTCCAGTTGACCCTGAAGGGATGGTCGCACTATGTCGCACTGAGTCATCGTTGTCCTGATATGTCCTGAATTGTCCTGATATGTGTCCTGATGTTCCTGTGGACATGCATGAATATGGATCGATATGGAGGCTTGCCAGATGATGCCAGATGATGCCAGATGTTTCTGATTGTTTCTGATTGTTTTTGTTTGGATATGGGATGGCTCCAGTCAAGGCTGCACAGCATGGTGAAAGAGACCATATTTTGGCTTTTTGGCTACCGACGATGTGAAGCTTGGCGGCATTCCCCATGCCATGGCACTCAACCTTCAACCTTTAGCCATGGCTCTTTGGTCCTTGGAATTCTGTGTGCAGTTGGCAGTTGAGCGTGGGTTTCTGGCAACGGCCCAGCTTCGCAATTAGGATTATTGTTACGAGTTCAGCAACTCCGGCTGGTGTGACAATGAAGGCTGGTGGTATTGAATCTAGCCTGCAAGGAGTTTGTAGATGATGAATGCATCGTATGGGGAGGTCAAAGAGTCGGCTTGACTTTATGAGGCCAAAGTTCAAAACATCCGTTTTTTTTGGCGAGTTTGATCACTTTGGCAAGCGGTTGCAGCCATGAGGCGAAGAGTGCCAAATGAACTGTGTGATGGATGTGTGGAGCGAAGACCCTGTGCCTGCCGCATCCTTACCTTGGGAACTGTGTTTGTCATCTTCGAGATGTGGTCGCTTGGAGTGGTTGCTGAATCTGCTGAATGTTGCTGGTTGCAGTTGAACCTTGCACTTTGATGCAGCGAGGCTGAATCGTGGCTTCAATTTGGCTCTCGGAAAGTATCTCGCCTTTCTAATTGGACCAAGGGCCATCATGGACCGACGTAAGAATGTCAACAAGATAGAAAAGACGTGAAAACAACGACCAGACCAGCTATATGATTATGATACTTCTTCTTTGGTCATGGATGTAACTATGGAATACTACGGATATGATATGATCATTTCACCCTGGCAGTCTGGTTTCCACATGTTTCCACACCAAAATTGCTGTCGTTCGTGCTACAGCGCGAGGTTCGGCAGCTCCCTGGTGTAGCAGCTTCTCAACTGTTCACGTGTGGATGTGCTTTGGCCGAGATCGGCAGAGCCGAGGATTTTTGCGATTTTCCTGCAGAGCTGACTTCAACAGACTTCAACTTTTCCATACTTTCCCATACTTTTCCACAGCAAAGGGATGTAAAGAGCAAATTCGAGAAGAACTATTGGAAGAACATCTTTCATGTGCTGCAGGTTGACTCGGCAGTTGATTGCCCACAGAGAGGGATTTCAGTGATGTGTCGTTCCAAATGCAGCCTTGCCTTGGAACAAGTGGATATATCAGTATTCTGTCAGTATGTATCAGCTTTTTTCTCGCGTTGCAATCATTTGCAATCCCTCTGGGCTTTTGAATCATCATTGAGCTGCGCAAACACACATTGGCCATGAAGATCCATGAAGATCCATGAAGACAGGGCTCGAGCATCTGCGGTATGGTCCGGTATGGTCCGGTGTTCTGTTGCGAGGCGAATTGGTGAAGCTTAGTGGACAAGTGCCTTGGATCGATATCCAAGGCACAGGAGAAACACACAGCTGTGCCACACGGTGTGCCAATGTTCTCCTTGCAACCAGGGCGGCCAGTGGCCGAGACAAGGAGACAGGAGTGAGTTAGTTGTAAAATGTTGTAAACAGAGGTGAGAGAGGTATAGGAGTATAGGGTGAGGTAGGTGACATGCAAAACTGTCCAGGGTCCACACGAGACATGACATTGACATGCCACATGCCACTTAGGTTGGTTGGATGGGTGGCCATCTGCTGGTCTACACATCTGGTGCCGCCTTCCGCCTGGCTCGTAGCAAAATGTTAAGCACAGGCAGGGAAGGTCAAACATCCAATGTCCCAAGATATCCCAAGGAGATAGAAGGATGTTCAATGCATCAGATTGAGGGGCCTGAGAAGAGACTAACCTGAGAGAACACCCAGATGAAAGAATGTCACTTCTTATGCGGATTTTTCAGTGCTAGAGTTTGTTCCATGAATGGCACCAAAGTAGAATCTCCGGCACAGTTTTCAACTGTCTCTCACCACGTTCTGGGCCAGGCGGCCAGACTGAAGAGGACCGGGCCTGTTCTAGTCTTCCGATGTCTTCCGTATTTTGCTTCTAATCTACTCTCCCCATGTTTTGGCGCAGCTTCTCACCAGCTGCAGGAGCGTGAAAAGGCATTGGCCGATTTCGATGAACCTTGGGTGGTCGTAGTGGTAGGCTGGGTGGCCTACGGGGTCACTGGGCGAAGGCTAATGCAAGGTTGGACTCCAGGTTTGCTATCAGTTGTACTGTGAAGCTGTTATATATTGTTATATCATGGACATTTATAGGCTGGGATGTCAGTCAACAGGATGCTCCCCAAGGATGTGAGAATTTAGGCTGCGCACTCTCCGGCTGTACTGGATGACCACGATGATCACCCTGCCACTCTCCGCTGTGTCCAGGGGGCAGCTTCGTGCCTGGCGATCCCGTGGAAGTGTGCTGCAAGAGCGGGAAAGGCCTGGAAATGTCCGCGACAGTTGCCGTGAACGCAACGGATTCAACAGAAAACCCCACTTGTCTATTGACACAGAGGTTGGATTGTACAAATGTTCCCGCATGTTCCCGCAACGCACCGGCACTTTGGATGTGCTTGCAACGGAAAGCAATGCCCGTTTTGGATGTTTTGGGCAGGCTGGCGTGGGATCGTGAAGTCCAAAAAGCCTGAAGGCAAGGTTCCATGTTCGGATGTCATATGCAAGGCCTGCCAGAAAGTCATGCCTCACCTTCATGGTGGAGAGTAACTTTGAATTCCCCTATTGAACCTGCAGAATCAATGGCAACAGCATGCAGCGCATATAGATCATATAGAGCCTGAGCCTAGACCTGTTGGAGACAGGGTGGATGGGTGTGGTTCCGGCTTCAGTGTTCTAGGATGTTCTAGGTTCCCGACTCAATATTCTTGGTTGCCCATTCGTTTGTGTTGGTTCCCGATTCCTGGTTCCCAACTCGGTTGCCACCCGACTCAATCAATTGAGTTAGCGATGTTAATTGTTCGCAATTCTACTCACGTGGGACCCGTCCATAACATTCGGGTGACGTTCTTCCACTTTGATCTCTTTGCTCTATCGCTCCTAGATACATCATGATACATCCATATTATATAATTAATATACATGCTCTATGAACCGTGCTCACGGTTGATGTCCGCTGCTGAAACCTCCACAGCCAGGCACTTACACCGTGGAGGATGAGTGGAAAGAGATTCACACCGTCTCTGGAGAGCATCTGAAAGTTGATAGCTGGACAGCGCCCGCATTGTGAACCTGCACCACTCTTGACAGTGAGCAGCAGAAGCTACTGCCTACATTTGCCTACCTGTTGCATTACGACTGCCTTCGACTTTGACACGCAAGTGACCCTATTTTCTGTATTTGTTGGAATCCTGTAATCTTGTAAGCTTGTAAGCACGCTGTCCTGCCCGTCTTATCTCCATGCCTTTTCTATCATGTTCTATATATATATATAATAAAAAATATATAATTATATATAATATATATATAATTATAATTGAAGCGAACATGTGATGAAACAAATCTCAAGATGAGATGGAAATGGATTGATGCAGCTTGTGTTGCAGCTTGTGATCCATCTTGATTGCCACCTTGTGGCATGGTATCCTGTGCACCGAGCTGGATGCAGATTCTGTTCGGTGATGCTGAGTCATGCAGTCTGCGCTTCTTGAGCTTCCCGTCCGATTACCATGTTGCTATGATTTGCACTGATTTGCAATGATGGTAGTCTCAAGAAAGGAGAAGCCCCCCAAGACAGTTCACTTGAATTCAATTGATTTCAAATGCATACAAGCTTGAAATCATACCGAAGTATAAGGACAAATCTCGTTTATTTTGGCTATATAGATGTTTCGGACACCTGTTTGGGAATCTGTAACTCCGAGCCTGTCGACCCCGAAGACCTATGAAAACTGCATGGTAAACGATTGAAACTGCCTTGGTGTGTAGCTCTATGTGGGGAACTTGATGGAACTGAAGTATCTTCTACACCTTTCCCAATACGTCAACTGCGCCTTGACTGCCTCGCTTGTACAAAGAGTAAGCGGAGCCTTTGCTCTGCAAATGTCATCTGGGAGAAGTGTGATTTTTGTGGAAGCCACATGACGTGATCATAGAATAGAAACATGGTTGCTTTCAAATGCTTTTAATTTGTCCTCATGATTTCTGCTCGTTTTGTCAGCTGCAGTTGCGAAACGGCGAACTTGTCACATTTCACCCACAAAAAATGATGCCAATCTGGGCTCATAGCAAGCATCAGAGCCTCTAGGCCAGCAAGGTAAGTTGGTACAGGGCAGATGCATTCGATATCCTTCGACTTCAAAAGCACAAGACGATCTATCTCAGCCCCGGAACGGAAATGTATGACAGGGGAGATACTGGGAGCTTTTGGCATCTTTAGGCCCAATCCAATGTCCCGCTCTGCAGCCCCTTCACCAGCTTGACCACAGTCATTGTTAGAATCACCTAGCAAATTTGGCGAACTTGACAGCCGAAAGCAAAGGAAAAGCCAAAAGGTCCCGAGTGGAAAGCACTTCCGTACAGGCTGTTCCAGTGTGGACTGGTAAGAGCTTCAAATCTGGACGTCAGTCCTGAGTGATGGGTTCTGTTGATGAAAGCGAAGAGTTGTTAGAGGCACAGTAGCAGAAGTCTGGGATGGCAACCGCATCAAAGTCACGTTCTTTTTTTTGGTTTTCAACTCTTAAACATTTTTTTTTTTGTCTTTTCTGTTTTGTCAAGCGCTCCTCCTCCTGCTACATCATGCGCAATCCCCTGCTGTGACAAGCTTTGCAATCCAGAGAGTCTGTGCCATTAATCTCGAAAGGTAGCGGTGAGCTACCTGAGTTCCCCCTTGCGTAGCAAGTATTAGGGGGCGAGCGGTGCAAGTGCAAGAGTTTGGGCCGGTTATGTCTCGGTCCGCCTTTCAAGGGGGGGGGGCCCCCCCCCCACCCTTCGATTCCCCCCAGGTCCGCCTCTAAAGCCGGGTTTGCAACATAGGCGGACTACAAGGAAACGCCAACAGCCGCACATGCACTTTCACCCACCACGTTTACATACATCCCCACCCCAACCGAAGTCAAGACCCGCACTGAAACTCGACAATGTCAGATTGCTCAAGAACTTTGTTTCGTTCACCCTAACAACCGCGATGAACAATGTCGTAGCAAGAACGTTGCGACGGACTGCGTTGCAGTAGTCTCAAAAATCGTACATGATATACCAGTAGTACCGCACAAGGCGGTGGCGGAAGTTTCAAAAATAGGAAACCTATAGGAGAGATTGGTTGTTGTGAATCAGAGATGGCAGAGCGAAGCCACTGCTGGACTGAAAGGCGATTGATCTCTCTCACTCTTGTCTACCTGTCTATCTATCTATCATATCTATCTATCTATCTATCTATCTATCCATCTATCCATCTATCCATCTATCCATCTATCCATCTATCTATCATCTATCCATCTATCTATCTATCATCTATCTATCTATCTATCTATCTATCCATCTATCCATCTATCCATCTATCCATCTATCTATCTGTCTATCTATCTATCTATCTATCTATCGATCTATCGATCTATCGATCTATCGATCTATCGATCTATCGATCTATCGATCTATCGATCTATCGATCTATCTCTATCCCTCTATCTATCTCTATCTCTATCTCTATCTCTATTCTATCTCTATCTATCCTATCTATCCTATCTATCTATCCTATCTATCCTATCTATCCTATCTATCCTATCTATCCTATCTATCCTATCTATCCTATCTATCATATATCTATCATATCTATCATATCTATCATATCTATCATATCTATCATATCTATCATATCTATCATATCTATCATATCTATCATATCTATCATATCTATCTTATCTATCTATCTATATCGATCTATCTATATCTATCTATCTATCTATCTATCTATCTATCTATCTATCTATCTATCTATCTATCTATCTATCTATCTATCTATCTATCATATCTATCATATCTATCATATCTATCATATCTATCATCTATCTCTATCTATCTATCTATATCTAACTATCATATCTATCATATCTATCATATCTATCTATCTATCTATCTATCTATCTATCTATCTATCTATCTATCTATCTATCTATCTATCTATCTATCATATCTATCTATCTATCTATCTATCATATCAATCTATCTATCTATCTATCTATCTATCTATCTATCTAATCTATCTTATCTATCTATCTGTCTAGCTGTCTACCTGTCTATCTTTTGTGCAGTGTCATTCAGTGTAATGTAGTGTAGTGTAATGTAGTGTAATGTAGTGGAGTGTAGTTGTAGTTGTAGGTGGTAGTGGAGTGTAGTGTAGAGTAGTGTCGTGAAGTGTAGCGGCAGGTAGTGTAGTGTAGTGTAATGTAGTGTAGTGTAGTGGAGTCTAGTGTAGTGTAATGTAGTGTAGTGTAAGGTAGTGTAGTGTAGTGGAGTGTAGTTGTGTAGTTTTAGTTGTAGTGTTGTGGAGTGTAGTGTAGTGTAAGGTAGTGTAGTGTAGTTTAATGTTGTGTAGTGGAGTGTAGTGGAGTGTAGTTGGGTAGGTGTAGTTGTATTTGTAGTGTAGTGGAGTGTAGTGTAGTGTAATGTAGTGAAGTGTAGTGTAGAGAGTGTAGTGCAGTGTAATTTAGTGTAGTGGACTGTAGTGGACTGTAGTTGTGTAGTTGTAGTTGTAACCTGTAGTGTTGTGAAGTGTAGTGTAATGTAATGTAGTGTAATGTAGTGTAGTGCAGCAAAGTGTAGTGTCATGTAGTGTAGTCGAGTTAAGCGAAGCAACATCTGAACCGCCAAAAGTGGTCCGAAACCCTAGTGTTTTTAACATGTTAACTTCCAAATCTGCTTCGCGCCACAACGGCGTGCACTTTTTCGAAACTCGACATCTCAGCCTCCAAAAGTGGTCCGAACATGGTGTGGTTTGTACATTTTGACTTCGAAATGTGCTTCGCGCCACAGCGGCGTGCACTTTTTCGAAACTCGACCTCTGAGCCTCCAAAAGTGGTTCGAACCCCTGGTGTTTTGCACATTTTGACTTCGAAATGTGCTTCGTGCCACAACGGCGTGCACTTTTTCGAAACTCGACCTCTGAGCCTCCAAAAGTGGTCCGAACCCCTAGTGTTTTTAACATTTTGACTTGGAAATGTGCTTCGCGCCACAACGGCGTGCACTTTTTCGACATCTTAAGTGCCAAAAGTGGTCCGCACTTGGTGTGTTTTCTACATTTTGACTTGGACATGTGCTTCGCGCCACAACGGTGTGCACTTTTTCGACATCGCAACTTCCAAAAGTGGTCAGACCCTGGTGTGTTTTGTACATTTTGACTTGGGGATGTGCTTCGCGCCACAACGGCGTGCACTTTTTCGACATCTGAAGCGCCAAAAGTGGTCCGATCCTCTGGTGTTTTGTGCATTTTGACTTGGAAATGTGCTTCGCGCCACAACGGCGTGCAATTTTTCATGTCTCATCTCCCCATATGTCTCCGCACCCGCCGCTTTAGCGAGCCTACTTTTCGACCCTCCGGAACCACAAATCATTGGAAAAACACAGTGAATCGCGACTTTCCTACCTTTTCGCGCATCTGCATCTTCTTTCTTCTGACTCTTTCTCTTCTGAACTTTCTCTTCTCTCTGCCTCTGCCCTGCTCTGCTTTTCATCTGTCCATATTGTCGGAAGTTTAGCTTCTCAACTTCCTTCGACAATATAGTTAAAGATATGTATCTATATATATATATACACATAATAATTCCATGATATATATATATATACTAAATAATCTCAATATACATATAGATTCGTATATATATATATATATATGCATACTCTACCCAGCAATTGTGGGATATTGCGCTTTGGCTAGTGGTTGCCGAAGCATAATCGCTGCCCCTTGCTCAGCATATCTAGATCATTTGGTGGATTTTCCGCAAGGGTTCCTCCAAGATATTCTCTTCAACCAAAAGACTTCGCTAATGACATTTCAATATGTTTCATATATATGTATATTCGTATATATATAGTTATCATGTATAATAACTAGAACACCTATAATGACTAGAATTACTATAATAACTAGAACATAATTATCACAACTATATTGAACCCCCCCCTTCGATTCCCCCAAGGTCCGCCTCTAAAGCCGCGTTTGCAAGAAGTCACCCCGCGGGCCCACTTTTTGCACCAAGATTCCAGCACCAGGATAGCCCTAAGTCAGTTGCTTTGGGTACATGCTGGGGTCAAAACACCACGTTTGTGAATCCCACACTGTTCTACACATGTACACACCAGAATCAACCCCATCCGCGTTGCAACAATGTGCTGCCCCCAGTTACACGTTGCCTCGCAAACCCCATAACCTGATATTTATACATATATCTAACTATATGTATGTATTTATATATATATATATGTCTGTGTGTCTGTGTGTGTGTCGTGTCCCCCCTCCCTGAAACCTACCTTTTTGGTACCCGCCCTCGAGTCCAAGCCCAGAAGACTTTTTTCGATATCCGCCCCAACTCCACCCACGTCCGTCCGCAGCGGATATGCCTCGTTCCCTTGCTCTCTTCTCATGTTCCAACCCACGCCTACCTTTCGATCTTTCACCCTTCCCTCTCAAGTTCATTTGCCATATTTGTAGATCTACATACATATAATGACTGACCTTATGATGCTACGTAAGGTGTGTGTGTGTGTGTGTAATTATATGTACACGTGTATATATATATATATATATGTATATGTATATGTATATGTATATGTGCATATATATATATATAATCTATACCATGTACGTGTGTGTATGTGTGTGTGTGTGTATGTATGTGTACGTATGTGTATGCATGCAATAGGCACAAGTACATCACAATCCGTAGTTCACGGATATTTCAACCTTTCCCAGCTTGCACACAGCGTTCCTGTCCTCCAAGGCCCCACATCTGTCCCGCCGCTGGCATGAAGGCTGGCCGGGTGCGCCGCAAGAAGCGGCGGAAAGGAGAGGATGGTGGTACCGAAGAGGAGCCTCCCAAAGCGCGAGGTGCGACATGCTGCGACGGGATTTGCACCGAAAAACACCACTGAGGCACCACTGCCAGATCTATCATGATCTATCAGATCTGCCAGCTCAGTTGAATCTTTATAATCTTTGGATTTAGTTGCTGAAAGAATGGCTCCGATTTTGCTTGAGGTTCCAGGGTTCAAGGCTTTGAAGATGTTCTATAGTTTACCATATCAGTAGTCCCTTTAGGCAGGAGGCTATGAAAATCATTCGAATTCAGTGATAGAGAGAGATTGCCACATGCCACGACTGTTTCTCTGCCGGTCAGGTTTGCATTGGTACATTTTCAGCAGCGAACTCGGCGTGGTGGCTTTACAACTGGGTCAATCTTGACTTGTAATACCCCCACGTCATTTCGCTGCTCTTCTTGTTTTGATCGTGGGGTTACTTGTTCGATTGACTTCTTCGATTGACTTGTTCGCCGTGGGGCACCAAATGTGTGACATGGCAGCCTGAACATATTTCTCCCTTGGCATGGCGAGCCCCACTTCCGGGCTGAAATCGGAGCGCAGATTTTTTTGAACAGTGCTCTCCAAGCATGACACTCATAGCCGTCATAGCCAAGCAACGCTAAGCCACATCCAGAGCCACTCATGGCGCGATGCGCACTGACTTGAGCATCAAATCATAGGGAAAGACTGTTACCATGTCGTACCATGTCCATGTAGGCACATTTAAAGATTTTTAAGCGCAGAAGTATTTTGCAGCTTCATGGCGAAGGCCTGCCTGAGCTTGTTCGGCTTGTTCGGGCTTCAGTCTTCCAAAAAGCCTCAAGTGGTGAGGTGTCCACCCAATGAGCAGGCCAGTCTTGCCCTTGGTAGACAGATGTAGACAGCAAACCAAAAAAGGATTTGGATGGCTTTGGCATGTGCGAAATAGCTTCAGAGTATATGGGCACAAGTCCATGCTGGTCCAGTACTACACTATCACCCAGGGAATCGCAGGAAGGGAGAGTTTCACATGGAAACCAGGTTTCCTTCTCTTCAAACAGATGTTTCAACGTTGCGAGGGGGATCTCATTGGATTGTTTATCAGCCGGAGGCCCTGGCAGATTTCTTAGAACAGCACGAAGTAGACACTTCGTGGCTTGGACTGAAAACCTGGCGGAAGCCTTGCAGCTGTGGCAGGGCAGTATCGGAGAGCCCAAAGATTGGCAAACCTGCAAGCAGTGTAGAAGTAGAGATAGTAACAGATAGTAGTAGAGGATAGTAGAGGTAGTCGTTAGACACATTATACATTCATATCAGAACCAATCGGGCCAGGAAAGTTTTGCTGAGCAGCTTCCTGCTGTGCTGGTGTTCGCGAGGTCATGGGGAGATGGCAAAGCGAAGCCTGTAGCCTCCTTACTGCGTGAGCTGAATGAAGGCAGCTGCAGCTTGCGCATTGATCAAGCCAAGCTCCTTGGTGGAATCTGCTAGAAATGCAAAAATATGCCAGACTAATCGTCAACGTAGTCCGTAGTCCAGGCATTTCGGGGTTCAGGGTATCGTCAGCTTGTCGTCAGGCCAATGCTGTTGCTTCATGTTGCTTCCATGTTTGGTTTGCTGACATTTTCGGATTTATCAGCAATCTCAAGCTGACTTGAGGAGTGTGAATCTCGAGTTCTGCTCGAGTTCTGCTATTTTGCAGGTTCCGAAGGCAATACATGATACAGTCAACAATCCTTCAAACTACTGCTTCAACACCAGATAATCGTTTGTTCAACTTCAGTATTTTGGTTAAATGGCTTTGGAGATGTAACCCGAATGGGACACAAAGCCGTCCACTAAGGAAGCTGCAAAGGCTCCTTGGCTTTTGAGGGATGTCCTGCAGTCAGGGCTAGTGGCAGCGAGTAAAAACTAAATACCTGGCTGACAGAGGGTTGGTCTACGTTGATCTCTAACATGCACGGCTTGCATGGGTTGGGTGAGACATCAGAGACATCGTCTCTAAGCTCGCACTGCCTCCCTCTTGATAGTTATCCAAAAGCCCGGCCATGCCAGACCATGCCAGACAGACCTGATGGCTTTTGGCAGGTGTAGCAGGGGTCACAATCGTAGCATCAGGTGGGTGGAGCCTGTCTTCGTTCAGATCACCTACAATGGCAAAGTGTTAGTGGAGCGGATGAAAGTTTTCCCCAACGGCTCTCAGCGCGTGCATGCGACTGTTCTGGCCGAGAAGAAGGCGGGTAGCTTTCTTGTGCACATTGCCATGTTGACACACTCACTATTACTTACTTACTTACTTACTTACCTACCTACTTACTTACCTACTTACTTACTTACTTACTTGCTTGCTTACTTGCTTGCTTCATCTTGCTTCAAAGTCACACCCAATTGAATCCAATTGATCTGAGAGTTATAGAATGTTGGAGAGAGAGAGAGAGAGTATCGAACGAGTGCTGCACAGTCTGCACAGTGCTGGATGATCTGAAACAACGAAATGAACATATTCACCAGATTTCACCGGCACGGTCCTGCCATGTCCTGCATGTCTCATGTCTGATGCTCAGTGGCGGGATGATGCCACGACCGTTGATGCAGCGATACGGGGTATGCGGGAAGAGCTACGTGTCGAGATCAGCAAAGAGACGGAGGGATTAGTCCGTTCCTCAGCACGACACACTGACGACATGAACGACACGACATCAACCAATGACCGACCAGTTTGCACTGCTCTAGCTATGGATAGCTATGGCTCCATGAACCACACGGCCTGGTTCGGGGTCACACTCGGCCCTTCGTAACTTATGTTACGTACATTCTACTGCATTTGATCTGAGATACTGGTATTGAGTGAAAGCAATGAGCATGTCCTGGCGGGGCTCGACCATTTTTGTTGGCATTTCAGTGCCTAAAATGCTGATGTTCTGAGATGGGCACATCATATTTCCTGGCGGAAACTGGCAGCTGAGGTGCATGCCCCTTTGGAGAACATTTGCCCCATGGAGGGCAGAGAGGTTTGGGTGTAGAGCCGGGGTGACAAATCGTAACAATATTCTGAAGGATATGTAATGGATATTATGGATATTGTATGATATAGTCTGATATAGTTGTGTAACCTTGCCTTTTTTTTAAAACCTTTTTTTTTGGGCATAGTGTTTTGGATATGTTCTCACAAATATACAGTACTATAATTGGATGTAATTGATTGCAAATGTGGACCTCTGAAGCTTCCAAACTGTCAAGTGGATTTGCAGGGGACTAAAGCGGTGGCTAAAGCAGTGAACTTGAGGAATCAACTTAGTGGGACTTGCATTGCAATGGATTGGTGTTTGGTGTAGTCGAAGGATATCGGGCTTTCCCATGCTTTCCCGCCATTTTGTGCGATGCAGTGGTTCTTTCGCAACGATGATGCGGGTTGTGTATCGTTTGCTGAATGAGCTTCAAACTATGGGATCTCTGACTTAGGGGCAAGTAGAAACAATGTAGAGAAACTTGAATCACTTTTGGGCTTCAGACATGTTGGAGGCCACTTTGCGGAATAATTCTATAGATAATTACGCCGTCGCACAGACTACACTCCTATCAGCTGTATGCAAAGAAGTTGGTAGACACATGAATCACATGAATATTTGAACGTTGACACCCAGCATTTCAACATATTTTAACTACAATTCATATAGTGTGTGATTACGCCTGTGGTCTATATTCAGTATATATTCAGTACATTTGCATTAGTCATTAGATGTCAGTAGTGTGTGAGGATTTCAGGCTCAGACATGTTTCGGCACAGCTCCATGCCTCGCGGCCAATCCCAGGCTTCGTTGAATCCATGGATTCAGCGAGCTATCCCGGTGTCGCTGCAATCTACGTTGCTTGGCATCGTGAATGGCATTCTCTTAAATCAATTTGAATTATGTTATGTATCTTAGATATTCTTAAATATTCTTATTGTTGATGTGTGGACAGAAGCGGCTGAAGGGATGAGCAGAGCGGCCACGGCATCCCTAGATGATCTGATTGCGAAGATTTGCGAAGCGTTTTGTTGACATCGTTTGACATGTGATACAAGAGAGGACACTACCTTCATGCGCTTCAACATTCAGCCTGGCAGCATGGCAGAGCGCGCTTTCAGCGCCTGCGGCTTCTTGGTGAATATCAGGGCAATTCCGGGTACTCCGATGTAATTGGTTCAGTTGGCCATAGTTGGCCCCGACTTGGGTCTAAAAAGATCTAATTAAGAAGCATGCAGCTAGTAAAGCTGTTGCACGTTGCTGAAGCTCAAAAAAGGGGGACGTGTGATCCACTTTGTTGATCTTGTTGGCCACAGCTGTGATTCACTGATGTTCTTTGTAAACGCTGTAGGGCTTCCTGCTTGCAAGCCCTTTGAGACTGTGGAGCAGAAGGTCGAAGGTCCTTTGCACCTGTGCTGGGAGCCTGGGAATGAGATAAGCGCCGTTGATATTTCATCGCTTGGACTAGGAAATATGGTCCAATATGGTCCGATCCCCGACAAGAATACTATTGCCTCGACGTTGCAAAAAAAAATCCAGTCGCGACCCTCCAAGAACCAATTTTGGGAATGCATCAGCTCCTCTTAGACTAGTACTAACAGTACTAACAGTACTAACAGTACTAACAGTACTAACAGTACTAACAGTACTAACAGTACTAACAGTACTAACAGTACTAACAGTACTAACAGTACTAACAGTACTAACAGTACTAACAGTACTAACAGTACTAACAGTACAGTACCAACAGTACTAACAGTACTAACAGTACTAACAGTACTAACAGTACTAACAGTACTAACAGTACTAACAGTACTAACAGTACTAACAGTACCAACAGTACTAACAGTACTAACAGTACTAACAGTACTAACAGTACTAACAGTACTAACAGTACTAACAGTACTAACAGTACTAACAGTACTAACAGTACTAACAGTACTAACAGTACTAACAGTACTAACAGTACTAACAGTACTAACAGTACTAACAGTACCAACAGTACTAACAGTACTAACAGTACTAACAGTACTAACAGTACTAACAGTACTAACAGTACTAACAGTACTAACAGTACTAACAGTACTAACAGTACCAACAGTACCAACAGTACCAACAGTACCAACAGTACCAACAGTACTAACAGTACTAACAGTACTAACAGTACTAACAGTACTAACAGTACTAACAGTACAGTACCAACAGTACCAACAGTACCAACAGTACCAACAGTACCAACAGTACCAACAGTACCAACAGTACTAACAGTACTAACAGTACTAACAGTACTAACAGTACCAACAGTACCAACAGTACCAACAGTACCAACAGTACCAACAGTACCAGTACTAACAGTACTAACAGTACTAACAGTACTAACAGTACTAACAGTACTAACAGTACTAACAGTACTAACAGTACTAACAGTACTAACAGTACTAACAGTACCAACAGTACCAACAGTACCAGTACAGTACTAACAGTACTAACAGTACTAACAGTACTAACAGTACTAACAGTACTAACAGTACTAACAGTACTAACAGTACTAACAGTACCAGTACTAACAGTACTACCAACAGTACTAACAGTACTAACAGTACTAACAGTACTAACAGTACTAACAGTACTAACAGTACTAACAGTACTAACAGTACCAACAGTACCAACAGTACCAACAGTACCAACAGTACCAACAGTACCAGTACTAACAGTACTAACAGTACTAACAGTACTAACAGTACTAACAGTACTACCAACAGTACCAACAGTACCAACAGTACCAACAGTACCAACAGTACCAACAGTACCAGTACTAACAGTACTAACAGTACTAACAGTACTAACAGTACTAACAGTACTAACAGTACTACCAACAGTACTAACAGTACTAACAGTACTAACAGTACTAACAGTACTAACAGTACTAACAGTACTAACAGTACTAACAGTACTAACAGTACCAACAGTACTAACAGTACTAACAGTACTAACAGTACTAACAGTACTAACAGTACTAACAGTACTAACAGTACTAACAGTACTAACAGTACCAACAGTACCAACAGTACCAGTACTAACAGTACTAACAGTACCAACAGTACCAACAGTACTAACAGTACTAACAGTACTAACAGTACTAACAGTACTAACAGTACTAACAGTACTAACAGTACTAACAGTACTAACAGTACTAACAGTACCAACAGTACCAACAGTACCAACAGTACCAACAGTACCAACAGTACCAACAGTACCAACAGTACCAACAGTACCAACAGTACCAACAGTACCAACAGTACCAACAGTAAACAGTACTAACAGTACTAACAGTACTAACAGTACTAACAGTACCAACAGTACCAACAGTACCAACAGTACCAACAGTACCAACAGTACCAACAGTACCAACAGTACCAACAGTACCAACAGTACTAACAGTACTAATAGTACTAACAGTACCAGGAAGATGGCAGGGCAAAGAATGCAAACAGAGGCTGAAGATGGGTGAACAATGAAGGAGATTGAGCCCGAGCATGCTCTGAGACCTTTAGGGAAACAATCTAAATGTAGTAAAAATGGAACATTTGGGCCCGTGGAAAGGTCCAAAACATCCCAATACCCCATATCCTTTGTGCTATTGCAATGTATCGCAAGGCTTCTAATTTGTTGGATCATCTCCGATTGCCACCTTTCGATTGCTTGACTCGCCCTGGGCTTAAACATTGACTTTCTGCTCATTGATAACGCACTCTGCCGCCAATCGCTTTCCCAAAGTTGGCCTACTTTGTTTAGCATGCTGTAGTATTTTCTTGGGCTGTTTGCCGCCAAAGTCTCTGGTATCAGCATTGGCTTTGATCACATTTTGATACATTTTGAAGCATCAATGTTGGGGATACGCGGCACGCACACAGACACACACGCACTCACATTTTGATTATGATGCTTTCTGACCTGAACTTAGATTGAACCAATTGTATCTCAAAGACCTACCTTTTTGAATATCACTGTGGGCCTTTTTGCCACAATTTTCGTGCCCCATCATAGTGCCATAGTGTTCAGACCTAGTCCTCGGCCTCTTGAAGTGTGGGTCTCATGCCTGGTCTGTTTGTCCCAACTCATCAGAGCATGTTTGCAAAACCTTTCGGCCCCCAGTCATCTCACATTTAAATGTATATATACCGTTTGCTCGCAGCAAGCAAAAACATTCATAGTTTCCACTACCTGGCAAACGGCACACTGAGTATGACGAATTTCAGGGGTCCACTGCAATGGCATCTCATGAGCTGGATTCCAAGGAATGGCTTGAATTCCATGAAGCCTTACGCAGCCACTTGTCAGTCTGTGATGCGTTGGCTGGCCAAGCTGAAGTGCAGAGTTCCAATGTGTTCGATGGATGTTCCTCCAACCCTGGAGGGGGGCTACAAGAGGATATAGTGGTCTGTAGGTGGTATACTGCGAGGCAAGTGAATCAACCATGCTTAAGTAGCAACATAGCAACCACTCACTATGATGAGGGTTTAAGGAGCTTGCAATAGCCAGCCACAGGTGGCGTCAGAGGCATGGTGCCGCCCAGAGATGTGGAATTGAAGGCAGACGGCAAACATTATTTGGACAGGAGCCTGGGCTTGAGGAGTTGAATGGGTCTACCCTGGCACATGCCTTCCTGCAAGTGACTGTAAGCTTCACACCCTGACTGGATGGGCTTCATGTGCCCTGGGAGCGCTACTGTGCCCCAATCATCCTTGAACATGTGTGCATGCACAACGAATTTCCACAAAGCAGACAACCTTTCGGAGCATTCCCTGGTAGAGAGGGCAAGCAACACAAGGGGACACTGCCAACATGCTTGCTTTGAAGGGTATGGAGCTGCTGATGAGCTGCTGATAAAGGAACAAACTCAACATAGACTGGAGCGGGCTAGCAACAGTGTCGGTTTTCCCCTTGTCCCTTGATGCATTTTGACACCCAGGAGCAGCTACGAGTCGGCAGGTCTGAGGGATTGCCTGTCCAAAGCGCGCGAAGATTCACATCAAGTTCAGCTGAATGTGGGTCCAGAGCGTTTGCAACCTCCACCGCCTCCAGTCACTAAAACTACGGATTCTTTATGAGGCCTTGGGGCCTTGCAGTGCCTTGCAGGTGAGCAACTAAGCCAAGCAACTTGGACAGAAACATACTGAAACTCTTGTTTTGCAGGCTCAAGATGCACCTGGAAGTGGTCTATGTTTGGCATTCACATAGTTAGTCTAGGCAAAAAGGGGCATTTAATGCGGCTCGAGATCCAACTTCCTACACATCTTACACGGTTTCCTGTTGTGATGACTGAACCATCAATTTGATCGAATTGCTTTGAGTTTGAAATGGCAGACATTTTATGGCATCTTGGACCAAAGCGAATGGGACTTTTTCTATGGGAACGTTGCTCCAAAAGGATGTGCAAAGCTGACCGCCACAAACACAGTATCTTGGAATCTGGAATCTCATCCCACAGAATCCCTCGGCCAAAAGCCGCACTCTAAGACTCTAAATCTAGATTGTTAAATTTGTTAAACAAAAACAAAAAATGCATCAAAATGCATCCCTGGGTCCCTGGACGATATGTGAGGTAAGGATGGTAGTCAGCAAGACTGCTGTTATACCTGCAGATCCTGAAGACTTTGCGATGCTCTCTTGACGTTGGCAGCCCGTAGGTAGCTAGCTAAGTAGCTCATTATTTTTCGTCTTTCATTCGCTCAGCGATGAATCTTGAAGATCTTAGTGACTTCACATCCCTCAGGGTCGAGAACTTACGTCCTGTAACAGCAATTCGATGCAATTGGTGTTTGTATTGTTTTGTATTGTTTTGTATTGCTGGAGTTTTCATGATTTTTCCAGGTTCACCTTATTCAGCATTGTTTCTCCGACCTTGGGGTTTCTGCTTCTGAATCGGCCTGAACGTACGCCCTGTTTTAACCGTAGCCGCATGGCCCCTGAGAACTCAGCCGGCCAAGCCATTTCATTTTTTGAAGGCCTCCGAGTCTGTGAGATGCCTTCTGACAGTCAAAACCACTTGGCTTGCGGTGTCAGTGTCGATGAAGATCACCGGGCGGGCTATCTTTGCTACTGGTGAGAGGCAGCAACGGAAATGACAATGAGGGAACCAACAGGACAATGTAGGAAAGCAGTAGCAATTTCCAACACACTGCAACTGCAGTCTCTTCCCCTCGTGGCTGTTTAATGTCATTTCCTGTGGGCGTCCCGGTCCCCGCCCAGTTGCTGGATCGCGCTGGTCTGTGCGGTTGGCACGCCTGAAAAGGAGCATTTTGGAGCCTCTTCCAAAGGGATGTCATAATTAAATAATTATTACACACACATATAACAAACATAGGATAAAATGGCGTCAATTGTCTATGTCAATTATCAGAAAACAGTTGGGAGCATTGCCTTTGAAATGGAATTTCCATGGCTACACGAGGCAGCTTCAAGTGTTGTGCCAGCTTGGGGATAAAATGGCGGTGCAATCCTTCTGCCAAGGCTTGAGCATCCTCTTGGTCACTTCATTTTCCTTCCTGAATTTCCTGGCATCTTGGCAGATGATGGCAGATGATGGCAGATGATGGCGACCTGCTCATGCATACTGTCGCGAATGATGGCCGCATGTGGCTACTGCAAACCACACGTGCCTCGTATCCCAGTGTTGTGCACCTCAGTACACCTCAACTTCCGTGAAGATCCTGGCTGAGGCCCTTCCTGATCCCCGAGCCCATTCCCTGCTGAGCGTCTCTGGGCAGCCATATCAAGATCCAGACTGGGTCTGCTTTGGTCTTTCCATGCTGCACGTGGCATATGCAGCTGCTACGCTCCCACACTACCTACCTACCTACCTACCTACCTACCTAACCTAACCTAACCTAACCTAACCTAACCTAACCTAACCTAACCTAACCTAACCTAACCTAACCTAACCTACCCTACCTACCTACCTACCTACCTACCTACCTACCTACCTACCTACCTACACACACACACACACCCGCTTGACGTGCCGAAAGCAGTCAAGACATGTCAAGACAAACTCGAACCTTCTAATGACTGAGTCCAACCACGCATAAACTGCTGCTGTATGCTAGTGCTTTTTGCAGGGAGAGGTTGCCAGTGAAGGTTACAGCTCGCAAAGATGTGCTACAGAGATGACAAGGTGATTTGTTTGAAACATATGTCCCATGCACAGAAATAAGGGCGAACAGGACTGTAGGTTGACTAGAGTAGAGTTATTTGCAAGTCTTGTCCCAGGCTGTTCTGCTGAAACGCCGGGCGGCAATATCTGGCGTGCGGCCCTCGCGATGATCACTTTAAGAAGCACTGACAAAGACTGTGATTCAATCGGAACAAGCAGTGAAACATAAGAAAGCTGCAGATTGCAAGGTGATATCAGCCTGGGTCGTCTCAAGTCATTTACTCGTGGCCTCATGAACCATCATGAACGAACTCTCTACGCCCTGCAGACTTGTTAGGATCCGCATTCAGATCCAGCAATACATGGACTGAGTGACCAGGACAAGCCTGGGGAGCCAGCAAATGCCATCAGGGGCTCAATTGTATGAATTTGCCATGGCCATGGTTGGTTTTTGATGACATAATTTTACATAAACAGAGTGATGCACTTATGTTTCTTAAACTTTCATGCGGCATGCGTGGGTCTGCAGCACAAGAGAACAGTGCAGCATGCATCCTTTCAACGCATTGTATAGAGTCAATAGAGTGGCACGGTAGATGTTCACACTTTTTCTGCGCTAAAAGCCTTCCAGTCTTCTAAATCACATATTACATAATTGTTCTCATTTGGACTCCATGAAGCCAAAGAAACATGCTGAGTCCTTGTTGCTCAGACCGTCGACGACCATCCCATTTCTCAAGATGTCATCAACCTGCAACCTATGTTCATCCCATGTTGTTTTTTTCAGACGACGCATGTATTAGGAATTATTAGGTTTGGATGGTTTGGTGTGGCAATCTGGCATTCCTTTTTCACGTGGGCATTTCCAATGAACAACAAAACGCTGTTGGGCTGAAATCGCAGTCCTTCGCGGGGCTTAATAAGTCCTCAAACATACCAATTAGATCCAATTAGTAGGGTTCGCATGGTATTGCTATGCCACCCTGCTTTGATTTAGCTTATGTCCATCGCCTGTCTTGTGCCTATGCCTTTGCAGGAGCGAGTAGCCTTGCTAAAGGCTGGCTGATATTTTTAAGTTGCGGAGAGGGTTTGGTGTGCCTATGAGCACAGAGCAAACGGCAGTAGTACCGCAAGGATCAATGATAAACAGAACAATTGACGGTTAGTCTTGGAATCTGTGAGCATGGAATTCTTATATAAGCTGGAAACTGCTGTGAGGCTGCTGAAGAGGCTTTGCAAGCTCCGTTGCCAGTGGTGCAGGTCCCATGTCGAAATGCAAGAGCACACATTTGAAATTTGAAACATTAGAAGGGTATCTTTGGTACTCAAGATCAATGTGGATTCAGGTGCTGCAAGCAGCATGGTTGCACCTTCCGGGACCTGCCGTATTCATCTCATTGTGTTTTACGATATGGATGTGCAGGTCGATTCTGAGAGCATTGGTCACGCGGCGCCGGGTACTTAGCCGCTTTCAAACAGGCACTGATTACGCGTAGGACCTTGTCTTGTGGCCAAAAAACTTCAAAAGCTATCTGGGCTCACTGGCATTGATTGGCAATTGTGACCAGCTGCCATGGCCCTGTCAAGGCTGCGAGGTGCGCAAAGTCCACCCGTGGCCGCCACCATGGCCCCGACCCCAGAGCCACAGAGCTCAGCCGGGTCAGTCAGCGCGTCGGGGCCTCAGGGGTTCGGGGTTTGGGAGCGTCAACCAGGATGCAGATCAGGATCCAAAAGGCGCTTCGAGTGATGCAGGAAGCAGGAAGGGATTTTTCTGTACATGGAATTTCCCCTCCGTAGTATAACTTTACATTCTTTACATGTTTTTACAAGGCTTTCATCACTTGCGCCGTAGGTCATGACAGTGATGCCTATGCGATCTTGTTTTCCTCCGTTTTTGCTCACACTGCAATGTATTACTCACAGTTCTTGGTTGATCTCTTGCCCTGTGTTCAAGAGATTGTTGAGGAGTGAGAATCGTAGGGCATGCAGTTGGCCCCAGATCTTGAAATTTCCAGAAAGGTTAAAGAATCACGACCCAGATCGTTGGAGATGATGGGAATTACGTTTATTGCATAGCACTGAGTGCACCTGTGTTTGGCTGGCTGATGACCACGATGCCCATGATAATATTTGCGGTAGAATTCAAGTTCAACTCTTCATTTTGTTGCCGCTTGTGTAGACTGCAACCTCAAAGGTGACACTCTTCACAAAGCAGCTTCTCTGCCATGTCGCAGTGCTTTCTGGATGTGTATATTGTATTATATTGTCGTATATGGTCCTTGCGCCTGTTTTTTGCAAACTGCCTTTCACGCCAGGTCTATTCTGATTTGATTCTTACCAAACGAATGACCTGGTCTTCCTGAATGGTTTGGGATGGCTTTCCAGACAAAGACCGTATTCAAGCAGACAAACGGACTTGTAGTGGGGTGTACACTCTTTGCCTCCTGAGTCATTCCAAGACGGGAACAGGCTCAAGACGCTGGATGCACTACGTGCGCGATCAAAGGCGGTGAATTGCCATCCTTTCAATTCTGGCATGTTCTGGCCATCAGATCAAGAATGGAACGCACTCCGTAGTTCTTTTTAAGAATCCGTTTATATACACCACCGACGGGTTCAATATAGTTTCAATTTGTTTCAATATGGTTCAATCTTGAAGCAGCTACTGAAATACTGTTAAACATTGCCCTTGCCATTTGATGAATCTTGACGTCATCACCATGGCTCTAGGCAGTGTTCGCGGCCGTCTCTGCACCCGCCATCTCTGGTGGAGGCCAATGCGATTTGTGGGGAGTGCTTCTGTGAAGAAAGGCATGTGTCCATAACATTGATTCGAAATGATTCAAAATTCAAACCATGTTTATGTTTTATCATGTTTTATGTCTTATAGTGATTTATAGTGTATTCATGCGATCGAGCAGAGTATTGATCCTGATCCAGATTTGCCATGATTTGCCAGTCAAACCCCTTTCTTGAAGGGAGGCATGAGCGCAGTTCCTTTGTGAGGCATGGCTAGCCTATCTGGTGAAAGTTGGCTACAGCCGCTGAGCAAAAGGGGCCGGGGGATGACTTTTCAATCTCGGTTGATGGCTTTGTGGATTCGTTGATACAGTAAATCTGGAGAAAAAGATAGAAAAAAGAGCCCACATGAGTCCACAAATGCTGACACCGACGCCGTCTCTGAGCACATTCTCCAGAATCCGCTCAATTTCCGGATTCCAAGGCTTGACGAAGCGGTGGACGCAGACGAACTTACTTTCGGTGCTCCCCTGGGTTTGGAAACGTCTCAACGATGCTAATTGAAACCTCTGCAGGTAGGGCCATCACTGCCATCCATGTCCATCTCCATGCTCTTCAACCCGGGACTGGTTCTTCGTTGTGTTTGGGCCATTTAAATCCATTTAAGACATAGACACCTTCGGAATCATCACTGGCACCTTGGCCAGAAAAGCGCTTGGCTCAAGCTCAAGAGCCAGCCATTTCATTCGCCAACTGAACTTTCGCAGAATGCCACTTTGGCAGGTCGGGAGCCAATTCGGGAGCCAACTATGTTCATGAATTTCCATAATTTCCCAAATTTCCACAGAGGGCTACAGGATGCTGTGCATGAAATCAATACCAGGAGCTGCCGCCTGTTTAGTCTATGATTCTCTATGATGGTCTATGGCTATGGCATTCTAGGCAACTGTTGTCACATGTTACACTTTTCTTCCTATGGCCCTATTTGGAGACCCGTTCAGGTCAAGTCTCTCCTCGTATGGCTCGTCTTGGAGGCAATGTCGAGCCGCATAATCCGTTGATAGTTGATGTCTATGGATGTCTCTGGATGTCTCTGGAACACACTCATCTTGTAGTACGCGGTCTGATTAATTGCCACTAAATTCCAGTTCCTACAGCGGTGCAATGCCTCTGCACATTCCCGTACAATTTCGGAGAAAATCTGAGACTTCTGAGACAGGATTCTATTCAAAGCAATTTGCCAGGTGGTTTCTTCTGAAACTCTCGCCCAGAGGCTGGCAGCTTGCGTGCATGTCAACTCGTAACGGAACACGCACACAGTCAGGCAGCAAATTTAATGCCCTTTTTTTTGTCTTGTTTGTGCGACTGTCGCTGGGTGCCAGGGGAGAACACGTCAGCGACAGAAACATTAGACTTCATCAAAATGATGATGATGAGACTTGACGGCCAGCCAAATTGACAACTCAGCCCTGCTTGCCCTTTTTCAACGTCAGCCCTTGGGGGTGCAGGATGGACATGGATTGACGATAGTTCAAAAAGATGTTCAAGGGCACAGCGTAACACATTTTCCCAGAAAGCTTCCAATTCCCAACGCTGCGAAGGGGTGGAATTTCCTGAAGAAGTGTCTCTAACGCCATTAAGGAGTGGCAGAAATTTCTTGATATGCTTGGCACTCCCGTGCCTTGTCAGTCAAAACTCAAAACAATCAGTTTCTCATTTCACGGCAGGCTAGCTTTGACAACCGAAATCATGCAAGCTTCACGATGGTGGGCAATGTGTGCTCTCCGTCTGCAACATGCTGAGGATGGTATTGAAAAGGCCAGGAACTCTAGCAGAGTCATCAATCAAATCATCAAGAAGGTCAATTCCAAGGCTATAATCCATGAACCAGCTCCCGGAGATGTCGTGCCTTCTGGAAACTTGGACAGCAGTGAAGTGAAATGTGTAGTGACTTGCAGCAACGCTGAGAAAGGATGGGGATCGGCTCAGATTGCAGCCACTCCTATGGCATCTTTGGTTCCTGAGGATCAGATGTCTGGAGCCCCGAAACTCGATGGAGAAGGGTCTCTGAGTCTCATCCAGATGGAGTAGTCTCCACTTTGCCAGGCCGTTCCCTCAGGCTGGCAGCTGAAAAGTTGGGGAGGGACCGGCTCTTGCTGCAAAATTAGCGGTGGTTGGGTTGTCGTTACAATGTGTTACAGCTCATTGCACGATTGGACTGCTGATGACTGGCATACTTTTTCTGAATGCATGTTTTACAATAAATGCTAGCGCACTCCTTGGTCTGAAACCAAGTGAAACTTTGTCTTCCACGGCATGCTCAAATATTTGCAATCCATAGATTCAGATGCTTTCGTCATCAGGTGGAAGGACGTCTCCTACATCAGCTTGCCCATGGTGTGTGTGCTTTGTGGGGTAGCATATCCTGCCGTGATTGTCGGTAGCCTTTTGGGTTTGACAGTGTTGCTTGGCTGCAAATGGACCACGACGGTCAACAGCAAATGTCTCCAACCCATTCTGTTTACTCTGTTCGCAATGGACCACTTCAGTGTAGATCCATCTGAGAGATCTATGGAAACCATCGTCTCGAAAAAGTGTGTGTCTGGGTTTGATTGCACAATATACACATGTATACATATACATCAGCGGGTGGCAATGGACTCACCTCCTCGTGGTGCCCGCGGGCCTCCCTCGGTGGGAGGTGCGAAACTTAAGAGAGTCCCGGCATCACCTTTGCCGAAAGTCCGACGCCTACATTGCCTGCAGCGGGTGTATGGTTGAGCTGACAAAGGTAGACGTTAACACTGGCTTGGCAAACCAGTGCATGTCGCGGCATCACCTGTGCCGTTAACACTCCTTGTGTGTGTGTGTCAGGAAGGAGGCCGGGTGCTCGGACCAGTGGGGCACCTCACCACTGCACGTGGGCATGGAGCCTCACCAGTTCTAGAGCTTCATCGCTTTCACTTCATGTTCACGAATGTCTTCGGGCTATGTTGTTTGTCAGGAATGTTGATTTCCTGTTGATCGGCAACGCGGACGTTGCCTGCAACATCCTGCAACTAGTTCTTGTCAAGTAGATTGCTAGTGAGCTCTGGCATTTGCTTTGTTTTCAGTTACGCGGAACCAGAACTCTTCCTGGACTATGTTGTTCTTCGTGGTGGTCTGCGCATGTCTGCGCTGGTCCCGCTGGCCGTCACGTCCTTTGTTCAATGTCCTCGTCATCCCATTTTGGCCTTTGGCGTTTGTGTACGGTGGCAATTGTGCTTTGCCCATTTTTGTTGGATAGCTGGTGATTGCTTTGGCTCTCATGCAATTGCTTGGTCACCCCGCTGAGTGTTGCACTATGTCAAAGTGGAGCTCCTCGGTCGTGATCACCGGCTTCATGTTCAGTACTTGGGGCGATTAGGTTGTAGAGTTGCATGTTTTTGCTTTTGGTCGTCTTCAAGTATGTGATTCAGTTCTGGTATGCTTCTCCTTGGCTTTGGTTGTGGATCGCTTTGGACATTGCGGCCACTTCGTGACGGTTGTGGCTGTCTTTGCCCAAAGTTCGACTAGTTCAAATCACTCTTCGCAGTTGGGCTTACCTGGATGTTGCTTTCAGCTTCGCCCGGTGTGATCTTCGACTACCTCCAGACTGCCGCGTTTGGGCTACCACAATTTTGTGCTGGCTCTGGGCGTGTCTGTGATTTCAAGTGGATCAGATGGCGCTGCGCACCGGTGAGCTGCAGTGGGCCTTTACCTTTCTCTGCAGGAGGATTGGTTGGTGTCGCGGTACCGCCTGGCTTACTTTGATTTTGCACACAGTTCGCCTACGGTGGGTATCTGAGTTTTGGCTGCTTCGGCCCGGACTCGCAGGACATTAGCTTTGCTGATGGTATCCCCGAGTTCGCAAACTATTACCATATTATATACAGTATATACATCATTATACTATACAGTATATACATCATATTACTCGTACCTTTTGCGTGCATTTCTGTGTCTCTCTGTGTTGAGTGTATCTGGGCGGAACATTCAGATATGCAGTATGTTGGAATATGTTGGATGTGACTCACTCGGACCCTTGGTACCGTGTGAGCAGCAGCCCCTGCTACCACTTGTTACCTCTGGATTACCTCTGGTAGTTAGCCAAGCTGCATCATCTTCAGCGAATGTTCATTTGCGCGTACTGTAACTGTAACTGTGTTCTGTCCTGTTCGATCCTGTCCAATCCAATCCTATCCTGTCCCACCCCATCCTAGGATAGCGCAGTTTATCTATTTGCCCACCCGAAGCTTTCCGAAAACGTTGCATTTTTTTTGCGCATTTGCCTTTGAGATTGTTATGCTTTAAAAGGTTTATCTTTTCAAACGAAAGCGGCCAGGCTCGTAAGCATGTGCCTCAAAGTCGAGCAGCAGTACCAGAAGAGTGGGGATGCAGAGGCCGGGACAACATGGGACAACTGCACTTGGACCGCTTAGCAACGTCCTCTTGTGATGGGCTGGACTCGTTGCCACATGTCGCAAGAGCTCAGGCAGAGGAGCCGCATGTCTCCGCAGAGGACGTGCCACCTGCGAGTAGCGCAGAATGATCATCTCTGTTGGACGGCAGTAGGTCCTACTCAGTAGGCCTGCCAGCTTTGCATCACACTCAAGACTATCAAGACTCACGGTTGCTCTGCAGGATGCAGAGCGGCAAGGTGTGTTGCAGCCTTTCATCGACAAGCTGCCAATTCTCCCAAAGCACAAGCTGACACCCACATCCAGGAGACATGATCCTGCACGAATACTCAGATGATCTCAGATTGAATTCAGTTTAACATGCGCGATTTTCATCGCTTGCTTTTCGATTCGAACGGCTACTGTAAGAGGAGAATTTATGTCGTTTGGGCCACCTTTTGCTGTGCTGTGCCCTCCATCATGGTCTTCGGCACCCCTTTGCTTATGACAATCCTGGCGCGACCCTTTCCACAAGAGGCCGGGGTCTGGACTACTAGACGACTAGGAGTGTGGCGGACAAGTCTTGAGACAGCCATGTGAGGTGCTAGCCGCTTTAACTCTTTTGACTTCGGCCTTTGTGTTCTCCAACACGCTGTGCCTGGGCTGCAGATAAGATTGGACAAGAGAGCAAGCGAGTGGTTGCAGCAACATGCAGCAACATTCAGACACATTTTGCATGTCTCATGCGTTCCTATCACAGCCCTCCTCGAATAGCCTAGATCCATCTAGATCATTCTAGATCCTCTCGATTCACCAGTCCATCTACCAGGTTTTAGCAGGTCTACCATCTAGATCAGTCCACTCGAACCCTTCAGTGAAGCCTTGATCTTGATGGCGCCAGGTACATGTCAGTCTTTGCTTGCTTCGGCCTCTGCCGCATGCATGCACAATCCAAAGTGGAACCCTTGGATTTCGCCGTGGATGATCCATCCGGTGAACAAAGGAGGCAAAGGCTTAGCGCAGCCGATGTCCGGTGGCTTGACCTTCAATGAATGATACAATATGATACAATTTATATATATATATATTATACAATTATATAATGAGTATGACACCCACACGCACACACCTATAATATATAGTGTACATATATCATATATATGTATATAATATGTCCAAAAAGGGAATGAACATTGGAATCAGCTTTGCTATTCGCAGTATCGAATTCCTGTTTTTCAGCATGGTCGTTCAGTTGCTTTTGTTATTTTTGTTTCAATTTCATGTGATTTCAGTTGTCACAAGGCTTTCAGGAGTCGAATGCTGCACTGTTTTGGCATCCAAGGCACTGGGTCGTTTTGCCACGTCCTTAATTTGGGGAACTATGGGGAACTTCAAGAATTGAGGCAAATTGAGGCAAAATCACTGGGAAACTCCGTGAAACTCCGCCAGCTGAGCTGAAACACAGCTTAGGCCACAGTATAAAGAGGACGTGGAGATTGTCCATATGTGTTTGGAATCCGTCGCCCAAAGCACCTACGCCAAGAGCTCAATTGGCATTGTGCTGGCAATGGAAGAGCGCGAGGAGAATGCGCAAGGCCTGGGAAGTCTGGCGTGCTTACCAGCACTGATAGCGTCCGCTCAGTGATTCCATTTGAAAACACGTTGCTGTTGTTGATTCAGGGTGCATGATGGTGCATGTGCATTTCAAATTCAAATACTTCTGTTTAGGTTGTGGATAAAGAGTACATGAGTAAAGTGAAGATGCACACACACACACACACAAGTTACAGTGGGTATTGAATTATGAATTCATGATGTCCGCAGGAATCTTTCGGTATGCGCGCGCGCACACGCATAATATATAATAATATATATATATATATATATATATATATTTAATTATAGATATATATCTATATATAAATTTAACATATACATGAATACGGTGCATGCATATATATATATATATAATTTATTCTAAGACGTATTCTAATTTGGATCCAACGGCCTTGCAACCGTTTGCAGGAAAAGCGAAGAAGATCATCCAGGAATTTCAGCACAAGTTCTCAGAGCCTTGCATGATTGATCCTGCACTGTTTTCGGATTTGAGCCGATTGCTCCAGCAAAAGAGGGATGAGGTGTTTGCTGTGGTGCAGGGGGTCTGCGCGAATTAGTAGTCGCAGCAGAACTTCACAGTGAAACAATTACGTCATGCTAAGTCGCTTTCTGATGCTTTCAACCTGAGACCATACGAGATGCACAGTAGTGGCTTACCATTTGCACCCTTGGTACTTTCGCCACTGGCCAAGGATATGAAGGCGTTCTATCATCCCGGGAATCTCCCAAACGACCCACCTGGCAAAGCAAGCAACGTTGCATATGCTTTCAGACAGCTCTACGCGGAGGTGAGCGACTGCGACAACGTAGTTCTTACCATCGCGGATGCAGATTCTGAGTTTGGTGCTGGTTACTTTGAAAGCCTGTCATGCCAGTTTGCAGCAAGCCAATCGCGGTACAAAATCTGGCAATCCCCGGTGTTTCACATGAAAAACTATCACCGTCAACCTGCACCAGTGGTGGTGGGAACTATGTTTACCTCGATGCAACTCTGACAGCATTTCCATGCTGTGCGGCTTGAAATGTCGTGGATCACCCATATCAGAGTGCAAGGGCAGATGACTATTAATTAACCATAATCAGCAGTGCTCATAGAATGAAAGTACTTTCCCACTTCAGTGACAGTGACTTGTAGCGCCTGTAGAGCAGGTTAACAGACAGAGCCTCGTCACTCATTGCCACTGTGCGACTGTGCAAAGGCAAGAGCTTTCTGGACTCACAGACCCCAACGCCGTGCGATTCCCCTACTCAACATACTCGTTGCCAATGACACTGGCACGAGATGTTGGAGGTTGGGATGTTGAGTGGATCGCGGAGGACTACCACATGGGTATCAAGCGCCTCTCTTGCCATGACTTTTCTTCTCCAGTTTTTAGATACCGAATGTCACCGAATGGATAAATAAATATATATAATTATATATATATAGGATTTCCATGGATTCCCTGTGATTTCCCATATTCAGTCTTTGTTGGTTTGACATAAACGTATGTTGGGTCCTCGGTCTTTCGAGCAGGCGTATGCTCTTTCATGCTGAAACTTTTCAGGATGTTGATAATAAGATGTGAACAAATCTGGGTGTGAGAGGTTATTGCTTGGACCCACGACAAGCGAACACGACTCCATGACAGATTGGTAAAGCTGAGGCATCGTATTTTCGATAGGAAAACTGAAGCTGAAGCCTTTGGCATCCCTTTTTGTACACTTTTCCACTCCCACCTAGTCCTTGATTTTACTCTGCAAATGTTCATCAATCCTGGATTCCCACTGAACACATCTCAGGTGTTTCTTAATGACTTTGGGGAAGACTTCTGTGGAGCCCATCATGAGCCCTGTGATCAACTACGTTCCAGAAAAAACGGATGATGTCACCAAAGAGACAGCTTGGTGGGGAACTTGCATGGCGCGTTGGACGCAGCTACAAAGACATGCCCTTGGGTTCTCAGACTTTTCGTACTACTTCATGATGCTTCCCTTGGTCTTCAGCTGCTTCCTTGCAAATTCATCTGCTCCGCGGATCTTCACCTTACTTTCATAAAATAGAATGTTTGGATATATTTGGACTTTTTGGTCTCAGGTTGTTCCTTTCCTTCGGCATTTCCACGATTGTCTAGGTCTATAGTCACTATAGTCGATTCCTTCAAGAAATTTGTATCAAGAAGAAAGGCCCGAGAGCTGACTCACACTTTTTCACTGGCGTCAAAGGGGCTCAGCTTTGAAAGTGAGAACAGCCAAGGCTTCTCGACTTCTAGCAGCAGCCGTGATGATGAAGGACTCCGTGGCTTTTGGCGCATGCTATTCTGTGGGACCACTCTCCTGGTTCGCTTGGTCAACGTTCACGAATCCCGGCGGAAGTGATGTGCGTCGTGTTGTTTGGAAGTGCTAGCCGTGAAGATGCGAGAGGATTTGATTTCAATTCAGGTGTTTGTATAGTTGTTAGTTGTCACGGCAATGTTTTTCGGGGCCGTGTGCCTTAAGTTGTATTTTTGTTCTTTATGGGGCCAATTTTGTTCTACCATGTTTTTGTAGACAGTTTCCCGATTGGATTGGGGCAAGGCTATTTTCAAATCAAGAGGGGTGCCATGCGGCCTGGTGTTATAGCAGCAGCTACTTCAGATTTCGGGTCTAGTGGGAATGGCATAGGAATATATAGGAATATATCATAATATCATGATTCATAGTGATTCATAATGTATCCAGTTTGAGGTGCGCAGGTGCGGTTTTGCTTTCTTAAAAATCGACAGAATCCTGGAGATTCCAAGGTGCTGATCGGTGTGCTGTCCACTTACGGTGCCATGGAGTTCTCACTGAGAGTGCTCATGCAAGTCTTTTTTGGTGACAGCCGGTCGCAGGATACTTGTCGTGGTGAGGCCGTCGTGTGGTTTCAGTTTTTTTTTTTGTGCGTGTTTTGCCAAGTCGTGTTTACACATGATCCAACTTTTTAGAGTCTAGGGATTTGTCACTTAGTGCTTCGTTGGACCTCTCGCTCAAGAAATGAGCCCTGCCCAAGGATGTAGAAATCTTGCTCGGCCATGTGGGTTTGTTTCCCCGTTATTTGATGTTGGTGACCGTGATTTGCACATTGGCCGTGGCGGTCGTCTTCTTTACGTCTTACAACTGGCTCTTGAAACCTCGCATAGAGGGAGAACACAATTTGCCGCCCCTACTGCACTTCACAAAGAACGTGGCAAGCCACCTGGTAGCATTCAGGTGCAGGGTTGAGTGCCTGTCATCCCCAGAACCCCCGGCTCAGGTGCTCAAAAGACGGCAGTTGAATAGTCTCGAACATCAATCCGTTGCAGTGCAACCATGTGGAACCCACGAATCTACTTAGTCTGAAGGTGTGAAATTGATGAGAGTTTATTCACCTAGGCCTAGCCTGGGCATCGCCCATATATTTCTTGGCGATGGGCTGGGCAATTTGGCGTGCTGCAGTTCTTCGGCTTAAATCAAAGTAGTGAGAAGCTGCTCTTTCTTCAATCCCGGCCTTCTGATCAAACACTGCATCAAATCCAGTGAAGGGAAGTTGTTAATCAACACATTGTCGGATTATTTATAGCACCACCTGCCAATGTGGGGCCGCTTCTTTGAAGGTTCTAGTGCTTACTCAGCGATCCTTCGAGTATCACGTTGCGCCGAAACCCAAACAGGAGGTCCGCCGGCAAAGAGCATTTGGATGCAGTTCTGGCGAACTGTGCTAAGAATTTAATAAAACTAAACAGTTATCATCAGTTATCAAATGTTATTTAGTCACTAAATCTAGTCTATCTAGTCTGCATATGTCTGCATTGAAAGAAAGTTGTTAATTTTGTGACGAGTCGAGTGGTGGCCTGGACTGCGTCAGTTTTATCCAGTGCCCAGATGGCATCTGCGAACCCGGAGCGGTCATGATTTCCAGGCTTCAAACACATCATTTCAGTGGGATTAGTTTAGTAGGTGACCCTCAAATTCGGTCATGTGATTGCTAGCGTTGCACCCTTTCCCCTGCACTTGCAGCGTGGGGGTCATGAGGCCGGAAGCTGTTCTGAGGGTCGCACAGAGGTAACGGAGAGCTAAAGGAGAGCTGAGCGTAGCGACTGGAAAATGATTCGCCAGTGAAAATGGCGCGGGTGGAAAGTGGGCAAAACATGGAAACCAGTGGAACATAGTGGAGCCATGTGGAATTTCAGCAGATCGAGTGAAAACCAGCAATCCATGTTGTTTGGGTAGAAGGGTTGTTCTAGTGGCTAATTAAGTGTCCCCCACTTCCATCTTTGATGATTGAACGATCCTATAAACTACTATATATGTGTGAATGGCTTCAGGGGAAGCAGGTTTCAACCAAATTGGGACTCGATTTGTTCTCCCAGGTCCGGCCTGGTCGAAGAGGTTGTTTCTTGAAGGTTCTCTCCACATCTCTCCACTTTCCCTGCCTTCCAGGTATGTGGGTCTACGTTCCGAAAGTTTCAGAGATGTCCTTTCCAATCTCATCCGAGTAACTTGGATGATTTGGATCAAAGATTTTTGCTCTTGGGGATGATGCATATTGAACAGATGGACACTCGAGGTCGATGAAGACTATTGCAGCCACAAAGGCCAGCGGCTGTAGGGATGCTCAGGGGTTGTGAGGGCCAATTCCTCAAATGGCACATGTCACAGCCATATTCGCCACATTGTCAGAAGGCTTTAACACGGGTTTTAAAAGATTTGCAAGATTTGTTCTCAGGGTGCTGTGCACGGGGCAGCCAGGGCATTCAGTTGGACGTTTGATCGCTCCATCAAACCAACATATGCTAAATGCCCATCTTGGACGTGGTGGTTATGTTCAAGGCCGCAAGTCGCCAGATGTGTAGTGATGATGTGCGGTATGTGTATACGTACGCGCACAGATATATTAGACTCTACATACATCGTGTATAATTTATACGTACAGTATATATATATATAATTATATATATATATACACATAACTATCTGTATAAGTATCAGTATATGTATGACTCCGCATATATGACTATATATATATATTATATCTTTTTGCTTATGTATTAATTATTAACATGTATTCACATATGATGCAATGAGTGGGGTCACACCAGCACAGCCTTGTCGGGCCATGTCGGACTCTGAGGTGCAACGAGCAGCAGGGGCTGGGCTTTGTTCATGTGCAGCTGGCATGGTTGGGCAGGGCGCTGGCGCAACACATGACAGCGATCACAGCGCCAGGCATGAATGGTCGACCACAAATCGACAATTGCGATTGTCTTGGACCGATGGCGTTTGGTGCCCAATCCTAAACTTGGTATGTGAAACATACTGCTAGTAACAATTTGAGCCGGGGGACAGGGCAGGCACATGTGTATTCATGTGTATTTTTTGTTTGCGGTATAACATGGTATAACATGGTATAACCATGTTTAAGATGAACACCTAACAGTGATAAGAATTCGTGCCATCTCAGCACTGGCGACCGAAAGCGAGGTCAGTGGCTGCAACGAGATTTACTCGGATACCACGGTGATGCCGTATGACCAGTGGGTAATGACCGGCTTCACTTTTTCCAAGGTACGGGATGTCAAACTGCGATAAACTGTGAAGATTGATTGTGTGTTTGCTTGAGCTCTATTCAGACACTTGTGTTCTTGACCGTGCAGCGCTAGCGATGCTGGGTGCAACATGTTGCAACAGAGATTGAGACTTATTTGGTTTCCTGCTGGCGATACATCTCGGCCGCCTTTTTGAAAACACAGGGATTGTCCCCACAGGAAGTCTAGAAGAGGAAGCTTCAAGTCACGGACAAATAAAATGCAGCTTTTGATGGTGGAGAGAAACGAATTCAAATGGACGGATAAGTTGGCCTGCGACATCATTTTCTCCTCGTTTTTTCTCAATCGATCATTGAATCAAACGCAGATAAACCAATCTTCCTGCGGGCACCTCTCTTTCTATCGATTCCTGTTGTGCCAAACTTCTGTTTGCTGCCCTCCCTTGATCCACTGTCACTGCTTTGCAGGGGTCGGCCTGCGCAGCTGAGGGGCTTCGATTTGGGACATGAAAGCATGCCACGTTTCTACATAAACACTGCACTACAACATGCCACACGGAAAAACCTTTGCATAAACTAAATGTTTGGAGAGATCTATAGAGATCTCTAAAACCTACTGCAATCGCACCAGACAGTAACGCCAGGTTTCAACTGCATGTCAAGGCTTTCAGTATCTTTCAGATCTGGCAACACGTCCCACCAATTCGGTATCCAGCGGGCATCATGTCGTCCAAAGACGAGGAATGTCAAGGTGAGCCGGATGTGACTGGACCCAAAGAGAACAGCGTCGGTGCAAGCGATGATGTATTCTTCGTGTCCCTGTCATACAAAGGAACAGCCTATGACGTTCCAGTTCAGGGTGATGATCACCTGGCCTCGATCTTTGACTTTGTGCAGGAGGCGCTCGACTTCCCGAGGGAGAATTGCAAGCTGATTTCCAAGGGAAAGATGTTGAGACCAGATAACGATAGCCTCACAGTGGCCGAAGCTGGCTTAAGCGCTGGCAGCAAGGTGATGTTGGTCGCCAGCTCTGCCAAAGACATCTCCTTTGTTCAGTCGAATAGAGCTGATCCTTTGGTCAAAGGCTTCGCAGAGGAGGAGCGAGATGAACAAAGCCGGCGGAAAAGAGCCCGTGCAGCTCTATCGGCATGGGGTACTAAGCAGGACTCAGAGTTCAACTTTGGCTCCATCAAGGCAGAGTTCAAGTACTCTGAACCTCCTCCCTATGAAGCTGAGCGCCTTCTACAAAGATTAGCAACTGATCCAGGCATCATTGAAATTATGAAGACCAGGAAGTTCAAGGTCGGCGTTCTCACTGAGATGAGCCCTGTTGAAGCACAAGAACGTATGGCAAAGAGGGGAACGCCCAATATGGACCTCTTGGGCTACAATCAGAACTTTGGTGGTATGATTGTGCTGCGGTTGCGGACGGACACCCTAAAAGGCTTCCGACCCTACCATGACTTGATCAATACGTTGATTCATGAGCTTACGCACAATGTGTGGGGCCCACATGATCACAACTTCTGGAAGCTTTTTGGTGAGCTGAAGGCTCAATACATGCGCTTTCACCGTTTTTGGAGTCATGGTGGCCGAGCAGCAGATAGCAATGCCGCTGGGCAGTTTCAAGGTTTTGATGGCCAGGATGAAGGTCCTAAGGACGCGAACTTCGGACAAAGGCTGGGTGGCGATGTTGAGCTCTCAGCCGAACAGAAAAGGTCCAGGGCCCTGGCTGCACTGGAGCAGAGGATGCCAGAAGCTCCTTCCAAGCAGAAACGCGAAGTAGCTCCATTTGAACCTTCTTCAGACTCGGATTTGGCCAAAGCTTTTGTCCCCAACTTCCTGGCCTCCAACGGTGGTTGGATGTTAGCATGTCCCTGTGGGCAACTGCATGAGGTGTCGGAAGAGACAAAGAATCAATTGGAGGGACTTTTTCTTGAAGGCTTCAGTGGCTGTTTGATTACACCCACAGAAGTTCCTGAAGTTCCCGAAGTTCCAATGGTCGAAGCTGCACCCGAGGTGCCGGAAGATATCCCAAAGGATGAGCCCATGGAGGCCGAGGATGTTGCAAAAGATGTTACAAAAGCCACTGAGTCCGGAGTTTCAGAGGAAGAACCAGCTACTGAAGCTCCTGTATCACCTTGTAGTGAACTTCCTTCCGCTTCGCATGCTTCGCTTCCTTTAGACCTAGCAGACTTGGAAGCCCAAGGGTTGGATGGGGCAGCCGTTTGGATGCAACGCTTTGAGAGTGCTCTCCAAACCATGGATTCCAAATGCAGAGCTCCTGCCGTGGAGATACTGTTGAAGCTGGTCAGCAACGCTATCCAGAAACCGGGTGAAGCCAAATTTCGCCGTGTCCGGGCAGAGAACCCCGCAGTGAGGTCTAAGCTTCTAGCTGCCGGGCCAGGTGCCGAAGCCTTGTTGACACTCCTGGGCTTTGAAGTGACAACGGAAGGTATGGAACGAGTCTTTGTCCTTTCAGATCAGTGCTTTGATGTTGTTCGGCTGAGAATGGGTCAAGAGCTCTTGGAGGTAGAGATAGGCAAGACGAAGTGACGGGCCAAGAGGCAATGTCTGAAACATGAAGTAATTTGGAAATGTGTCCAGTTGCTGTTCTTCCGTGTGCTCAAAGCATCTCGGCTCCGGGGCAAGCACAGACTGTTTGTACAGGAGATCATTATTCGGATGGACTGGTGAACTCAAGTACCAAGTTCAACCATGTGGTCAATATGCTAAATCTATCCGTCTATAATCGTCTATATCTTGGTATATCTTCGTTTTCATGTTGGACTGGCAATTTTTTGCGATTTCTTTGGTGCAAGTTTGACAGTTCACTGAGGCTCCATGATCTCGGGCCAAAAAAAAATCTTTTTCGGGCGAGCCGTACAGACCTGATGGCTGCAATGGAAGCTGGCGCAAAAAAGCATGCAGATTTCATGAGCTCTGGGTTGATACAACGGGAATCTGGAAAAGACGAGCCACGGCTTAGTCTCCACATATTCCAAGAGCCCTTACGTGCTTGCAGGCAAGAAACCGTGCTAGCATCATGATGGACAAGCAACTGGCCAGAGGGCCCCAGTTGCTGCAAGCTGAAAGGGGGGGTAGGAATAGACACCAGTTAACTCTGTTCATGTAGCCATAGCACAGGGAAAAAAAAATCGGGCAAACTTGAGGTTAAGCCCTCACTCATCGCAGGAGGATTTTGTTTGGTAATTCCTTGTGCAGCCATGAGCCAAATGAACAAAATATAAAACAAATATGGCAAGTTTGATTGCTTGGGGCCGTGCTTGCAAATCAAACTAACGAATCTAACGAGTCAAGAAGGGCTACACTGCTGGATTTCATGCCAGCAATGTATCGCCGGCTCGTCATCCGTTACGCTCTGCTTGGCTCCTTTGCAGATCGTTGACACTCAGCTGGGCCTTGGGAAGTATGTGCGCCAATCAACGCAGGGACCTTGGAGATCCTTGGAGCCTTGATGAGCCTTGCTACCCTGGCTGAAGTATGCACAAAATGGATCAAAAATGGCACAAGCGCTTCTACTTTCAAACAACGAAATGTGTGCTGTTCCCTCACGTGATTTGTTGCTCCGCCGGTATACTATTCATTCTGGTTGAGAGTTCAGGACACCCAAATCATTCCACGCTGCTTGGCTTGAGCCCACCAATTTCCTTCAGACATAGCAAGCTTTGAGGCACTATCCGATTGAAGAGGCATGTTCGTTGGAGTCCGCCAAGCATCGCAGCCATGTTGAGCTAGCACACAGAGCTCAAAGTCGCAGAGTTTCGATAAATTTGGCACTTGCAATCCCAGAGTTGTGGAGCAAGAGTTCTCTTCCTCTGAAACTCTTGGTTTATTTGCCATTTGCGAGGCCAACATCCACCAACGGGCACTGTCGGATTCTAACAAGCTCTTGCTTGGCGCAACAGGCTCAGACTGTAAGAGGAAGCGGCCAGCGTGCTTTTGATAGGCGAACACACATGACAGGCATGACAGGTGCTCTGAAGTTGCTGAAGCTGGAAACTTGAACCTTTAAGAGGGCATTGGAAACCGTTGCGCTGCCAAGGCCCATCTCCTTACAAAGCCGACGGATACTGTGCTATCCTTGGCCATTCGACCCGTGAAAGCATTTCAAGATAGCCTCGGTGGTTGCATACCAAACATACTTCGAAGAATCTGGGAGATAGATGAGATAGGGAAAGAGGATTGCACAGGAGATACATGGGGGTACTGTGTAAGAAATAGTTGAAAGAAGATTGCAAAGAGATGCAAAGAGCATGGCCAGGGCTTCCAGGGATGGGCTAATGCCGCCTAATGCTGCTGTCCTTCAGCCCACTGAGGCCATGGCCCATGGTTTCATCGGCTTTTTCGGTGATTTGTGTCTCGGCATGTCTCGGCTTGGATCCAAATGGTTGATCACCAGAGGTTTCCCTACAAACAGTGATGAGATTACAATTGATATCAATTGATTATATGCCAAACCGGCCCCTCTATTCTTCGTAAACCATATTGGCCAAGTTGTTGTCGTCTCATCAAGTCCAAGTTTGAACAAAGTGCGTCCCGCCGAAGATATGGGAGAGTTTGGGTTTTCTAATGGTGGCTAATTAAGCCAAAGATGGTGTCCATTGATGTCCATTGCGGGTGCCGTATTTGGGCCATTGCAGGGGCCTCTCCCAATGATCCCAGTGCGGTGAGGCGGATGCTGAAGCAGTCCACAGATGGATCAAAGCTGGTGAGAGCCCAAGATCGATTTGCTGCAAGAGATGGCATTCCCTCGATCTAGAAAAGTCATTTCATGTCATTTCCTTGCTGGGGTGTTCCAATGGGGTGATAGGGATCCCAGGGATGTGTTCAGCATTGTTCAGCTTTGAATCCAGAATTTTTGCACCGGAGCAAGCCCGGAAACGTGGAGTCTTTATGTAATTTATATTGGTAGTATTGGTAGCATTGGTAGCATTGTCATGTCTCTATGTGTCCTGTCCTTGTGAAATTACTAGGCTGGACCCTTGCGAAATCTTCAGAACCACCAGGGTTCATTGGAGTCCTATCAAACCCTGGAACCGTGAAATCCTGCCACAAGTTCCTGTGGAACTTTCGGAACCCCCCCCATCCCCAAACCACTGGCGTTTCTTGAGACATCTTGAGACTATGAGAACCGCCAGTGGCCCAGGTCAATCTGCTTCACTGCGACACAAAGGACAGCGAATCAGCGAATCTCAAGTCTTTGCATGCCACATTGTTGCATTTTGGCGTGAGAGGACTTAACCAGTGGATCCCAAAATTGCGGCGTTAGCACATCGGCAAAGCCCTCAGGATTTGAAGGACCCGGAACTTTCAGTGGTTTTTCCCTCACCAGGACAGTCAGACAATGAAAGCGGCAACAGTTTACAACAGTTGAGAGATGGGAGGTGGATAAGGAGAGACGCACGTATATTCGTTTTTGTTGGGGGAGGAGTGGAGTGCATGTAAGTGGTAAGAGTTGGGAGACACCTGATTCAAGTATTGTACCTCCTTTTAGAGACTGCAGAATGATATAGACAAAGGAATCCGCAAACAAATTGTTGTCTATAGGATGGTTCGGGCTAAGATGAGGATACATTTTTTCGAACATCGCCTGAGTACAAGCTGGAGTAACACACCATGCGTATACATATCTTTGCTTTTGCTTTTTCTGTCACTATTCAGAGACATTCATTACGTCATTTTTTCTAGTTTACGTGCAGGGTTGGCAGGGTCGGTGCAGTATGATGTGTGATCATGTCCACGAACTTATATTATGCTGGCTTAGAGTCATGTTGCCTTCTCCTTTGTGGATTCTCGCGGCCGCCCTTTTTTCTGCGCCTCAACCCATCTCAGAAGTGTTTTTGGTACTCCTGCTTCGGGCGGGGCTTCATCGGTTTACAACCCAATATAATTATATAATATAATCAATTCTATTCTAATCATTTCTAATCACTATTTATCATTATTTATCAAAGTAGGTGGCTTTCTGTGGCTCAAATTCAGCATTTTCTATGCGAGCTCAGGCGTTGCACGTGCTGGTGCAACATCAGGTTGGCGAAGAGCCGCACACCTAGCAATGATGCAAACTCCAGCCGCGCAAAATCCCTCGGTGGTTTGTATTTAGATTCCTGATGATTCCTGATCTCGAGTCTGCACGACCACTGAACTTGGTTTCTCTTTCAGGTCACTCAACTCAATATCGGGCGCAAGACTCCAGCCACGCTACGTCAAGGGTTACATCCCAGGCACTTCGATATCGTGATTCTTGCCCGTTTTCAGCTTCAAAAGAGATGAGGAAGTCTCACCAACTTTTGGGCAGTTCACCCGCATGTTTTGTCACAGATCTCCTGGTTTTCGCAGTTGCTTTCCTACTCTTGTTTCGCATGAGCATGGAGGGTTCTGCGTCAGGAGAGGGCCAGATATCTTCGGTTCCAGTGCTGAAGTGGGACCAGAAGCTGGGGACCCAGGCTTGGATGCACTTGTGCGTCGTGCGATCACGGGTTCCTAAGGCCCGTGCATCCGCTGGTGATGGAACCTGCAGGAGCAGCCTGAAGCCTGGTTAGGACCCAGTCCTCCAGCAAGATCTAAAACCCAGGCCCACTGATTGAATTTGTTCTTAAGCTAAGGGAATGATGATAAATCATGAAACAATATGAAACAACTTGGCCCCGCACATTTTGATCAGTTTTGTTCAAATCATCTTTGTGTACGCGTTGCTTCGTGAGTTTGGTTCCTTGGTTCCTGAGGCAGTGGACATCCAGACACTCCCTGGCACCACCCTGTCACCAGAGCAGCTGAGGGCAACCTGGCCAAAGGAGCGGGAAAAGCCACGTGCACAGTGCGTGTCTATTCGGAAGTGTGCTGATGTTTCAATTGCAAGCCTCAAGACCTTTCAAGGGAGTGAAAGAGTGTTCTGTGCTTCCTTGGAACAATTGGGAGGTTTTCAAACAACGAAAAAAGTGGGAATTGCAGGCTGCACCGATTGTGGGCAGAGGTTTTGCTCTGCTTGGTAATGTACTCATATTTGCATATATTTGCTAATATTTATGGTTGGTACAGCGATACATAAATATATAGTATATTTATTTATATATACATATATATATATATATAAATAAATGAATCAATAATTAAATAAATGCAATAAATGAACAAATCAATAGATAAAACTATGAATAAATACATAAATACATATAAATAGATATCATTAAATAGATATAAATGATACAAATACATAAATAAACAAATAGATAAATAAATATACACTATATATATATATATCCGCGTGTGTGTGTGTGTGAGTGTTGTGTGAGGCTGAGGAGCCTCAAAACTGACCCCCCCTTGGAAAAGTTACTTTCTCACTGGAAAGGACAATATCCTGCAATTTAGCGAAGTTCGGATTCTTGCCATTGCAGGAGTGGATCTCCCAGTATGGAGAAGAAGCACTCGTAAAGTCTCAGCAAGAAGCAGATGGTTGGGTCCGAGCCCACAGCTGCACCAATTCCTCCGAGTTTTGAACAAGATGACCTTCATATGTTGCATGCAAGAAAGATCCGAGTGGATTAGGTAGCACTACCTATCAGGATGACTACACGGCTTCATTTAGCATATTTTGATATACTTTCCCCTCAACATGCTTGTAGTGAGTGTAGTGAGCTCTTCAGCGCCCAATCCTTCAGTATTCCAACTACAGTTGTTTCTGAGGCTGCAGAGGTACGCGGAGCCATGAAGCACACCTGGGATGGCTACAGGCTGGCAGCAAAGCTCTACACATTGACGACATGTTATTTTGTTGGATGCCAACCTTCAGTGCCTGCAAGATTTGCAGGTCAAAAGGCTGGGGACATGATGAAGTGCAACCAAGCTCTGGCAGAACCAAGGCTGGCTGGGATTTGTATTCTAAGTGCCTGGGATAGGTATACATGACATAGAATATCATAGAATGCGCGCGCGCACACACACACACTAACGTGGTCCAACGTATCGTTTCGATGCATAGATGAATGCATTTGTATATTGGCATGAACAGATGGTACAAAAAATACATAACGCGCATACACGCATGCTGACAGATTGTTAGAGGTATCAAAAGTATGTTTAGGTTAACGGTTAAATCACATTGAGGTCCATGCCAAGGGGTCTCCTGTGGCCAGGACTGGTGTAGAATGGCTGGGGCCTTTGAAATCATGTCACCGCCAACGCGCGGCCGACGCGACAATCCACTGGGTGTACAGGTATCCTCTACAATGCCCATCAGACATGTTGTGGAAGGTTTAAACATTTTAAACGTCATTGCAATGGAGTGCAATCAGACCCACTGACACATTGTCATGTGTTTTGTTTTGTGTTTCTCTTCTTGTGGTGCAGCAATGATGGCCGAGGCAGTGACGATGTTGGATGCCCTGTCAAACTCCTAGTGGTTTTGCGCAGATCGTTCAACGTTCACAAAGGTTTCTCACTAGCATCCAGGAATCCAGGACCTCTCTCAGAAGTACATCAAAGGATGGCATCCAAAAATTAAAATGCTTTGGTCAGGTTCGTAGAGAATATGAGTCTTGGATAGTCTTGGTATATATAAATTGCCGAAGGTGCTTAACCAGATATTAGGGCAGGGTAACTTTTATACTCATTCTGCATCTTAGTTCGTCAAGTTGTGCTTCACTCAGATCGACCTTGTGGATTATGGGGCTTCACCAAGAGTTCGAGGACGCCCACAGTCAACATGCATTGACCTCCAATCAATTTGGCGGCTCAGCGCATGGCCAGTAGACAAATGAGCCAATCCCCTTGTTGATTGAAGAGTATCACTAAGTATCACCCCAAATATCTCCTTAAATATCCATCTTAAATATCCACAGTGAGAATCCTCATTGCATGGTACTTAAATCTTAGATATCTTAGATCATCTACAGATTCAACAGCGATTCAAGCGCCGGGTGAAACCTCCCAGCCGAGCCAGGAAGCCGCCAAGTGGCTGGAATCGAACTGGCTTCCAGGACCTGGCAGGTGCCGCGACTGGTGGCGACTGTTAGGGGATATGGGATACAGTCCTAGTAATTCAATGATACTGTAATATATGACAATCCCAAATGAGGATTCCTAATATGATTTCATATTATTTCAATATCTCAGTATCAACAACATGTATCAACATGTATCAACATGTATCAACATGTATCAACTATCAACATGAGTTTTCACCTCCCCATGCTATCAGAGAGCCACTTTGATTCAAAACGTGGATGTTCCCGTGGCATCCGTGTCCGACAGTCATGGCCAACACAGCCTCTTTGAGATCAACATCAGGGCGTTTGCAGGCCATGGCAGGGGGTTTTCCTTCGATGTTGACCCATGGCATGTTGGGCTTCTGGGGTGTATGATGGTGTATTCATGATTCATAATGGATTATTAAAAATACTAGTGTTATTATTATTATTATTCTATATAAATATATATTTATGTATGTGTGTGTGTCGGTGCCTTCCTGCAATGGCGTCTCTTCAAGAAGCATGCATTTGAGGGTGCCCATTTCACACATCTGATTTGTTCAAACACTCATATTCCATCATCCGACTCTCTGGTGATATTTTGCACAATGATATGTTTTTGGTTGTGTTTGTAGGATTGATCGGATTTGCTTGAGGGTGTCACAGGGCGTCTACGAAGAAGAAGAACATGTATTTTTTTTCATTTCCTATATCTTATCTCAGATTATTTGGTTTAACCATGGCCAATGTCATGGAAGCCTAATGTAAACCATGGTAAACCACTTGTTGCTGTTACAATAGCATTTATTGCAGATGTCTCACGGCGTCTCAGGGAAACCAAACATATGACATGAATACCGTGAAGGCAATGATGTGTCCCGCCAACAAGTTGCGACAATCGCAAACATTCGTGCGGATACATCACAGGTCTTTTTTGGTAATTCATTGAAACAACCCTTCATCCTTATTATTTAGCCGTAGCAAATCATACCAAAGTTGCAGCAGTGAGGTGTCTATAGGTGCGAGGTCATGCGCGTAAAATACAGATGTCTTGGATCGAGGTTTGCTGTCATCCTACTCCCTGAGCGGCAAGCGAGTATTCCTCGATACTGTCCGGCACTTGTGGCATGAAAAGCACCAATGGGAGCACAGGTGCGTTCTTCAACTTTCGGTTCGAAGATAGCTGGCAATACCCAAAAACCATCCGCATCCTGAGATTTGGGCAAGCAAGTAGGTGAACGTATCAATGTAATGTATCAATCCTCACTGGACATATGAAATAATATGAAATGTTCCAGCACGGCCGGGTAGTTACATGTAGTTCCAACATTTGTTTCAGGTCATTGCAGGCGACTGTTCCACCTTTTCAATGCAGATATCTGCCTTGATCTCAAGGCCAACCGCCTTGGAGAGAAGTTGCTGGGTGCGTTCACCGCGCTCGAAACCTCAGATGTGAAAGAAGCAATGAACAGATGAATAGGATCATATGGGAGCAATACGATTCATATGAATTCAGTTCTGAATTCATTCATGATTCATATATGATTCATGATTAATAATTGATTATAATAATAATTGACATATATTGACATTAAATAGCTTTTGTCGTGAGGATACTGGGAAGTCATGACATCTACAAGCTCAGGCCTAGTGGGCTTCCAATGCCGACAGTCCCTTGGCAGCGTGAAGTGTTCCAGCGTTCCCCCTTTGTGATCTATGTTGTTTGTACATGCTCTAGGTACTCCAGATCAACTTGCCTGCTGTCAAGTACATACAGCCCTCCATCAGTACTGTAGTCAATGGTTTTAAGGTTTGAAGGAACGCAGGTGTCCTGTGATTGCGATTTGTCGATTTGTCCTCTGCCATCACTTTGCCCAGATTGACATTGGCACTGGTAGAGCGGAAATGCACAAGTGGAACTCCAACACGGCCTCTCTGGCGTTCATTTCATGTCATTTCCAATGCTGTTCATTGAGCCATGCATCGGCACACCCCGAGCGCATGAGCTGAATGGATATCCCAATCATTCCCATCACACCCCCTTTATGAATTACATATTGTATCTCTGATTATCTCTGATTGCAATAGGAAGGTGTTGCGACTTCGTATGGGTTCCTGTTGCTTGCCAGGTATTGGCGGAGGTGACCACCCTGCAGGCATTGCAAGAGATTAAGTACAATCGGTGGGTTGGAGATTGATATGGAAGGAAGGTTCCTCTCAGTGTCAAATTTGTGTCCACGGCAGGTCCAAGCAATCCTGACTGCCAAAGAATGACAGAGTACATGTTATCCAGACCTGATTTTTTTGATTTTCTTGGTGTTGGCACTCTCGATTCCCATAGCTTGGGATACTATGAAGATACCCAACCTACGACTCTTTGTGCGATGGCCTGCAGGTGGAGTTCCGATACATGTCCAAGGCTACAGGTGACTCCCGGTACCAAGAGGTGGCAGACAAGGCGCTACTTCAAGACAGCAACGTGCCACCATCAAGTTATATACTGTTGTATACTGTACATGGTTTATTTTCATATGGGGTTATCATCCCCCCACTAAACAGGGCTTGCATGGGGGTACCATAACCGTAGCTTTGGGAATCGGATTCATGATGGTGGGATGTCCATAGCCCACAAATCACTAATCCGATCCCCCCAATATTAAACATCCCCTGAATCGTCCCAATTATGTGGAAATTCTCTACTAAACCGCAGTTTCAAACGGGGTGTGAAGAGGGGAAGGGACTAGTCCACGTATTCCCACATAACTTGACCACTGGGACTGGGACCATGGCACCGTTACAAGGCCATGCAGGTGGTACTGAAGGCTGCGGGACAACGTGGCCTGGTGCCGCGGGGGGCCACGGAGCTGTTCTGTAGCTTTTTATCAACAGATTCTGATGGGGATGAAGCCGTGCTTGCCTTCATGTTCCTTTATACTATCTGATGTTTCATTGTGTTTTTCTTGACGTTTTATGTACAACGATTTCTTCAACATACTGTACATTCGGGTGAGTGGGTGTGCCATGGTGTTTGAATGTGTTTGATTTGGAACGGTCTAGTGACAGTGACATTTGAAAGGGGGAATTCTACGCAATTCTTCGATTGTGCATGGCTAGAAACAGTCAAGATTGTGCATATAAAAAACATTTGCATTGCTGTGGAAGAACTAGTCTCGCAAGCTTTGGCTTCAAATTTTTGCGAATTCTGTGCCTCAGCATGGAATCTCAGGTGCGAAAGGGATGAGAACATGTTGCAAGCAAAGCCGTCTTGAAACATAACAACTTTGAAATACGAGTGCCAAATCTATGCTGCATATGCTGTTGTTGTGATTGGTTTTGCGGCCATCCATAGTCTTCCTTCTGACCTTGTAGTCGTTGTCGTCGTCATTGTCATTGCTGCGGCTGTTAACGTGGCTTAATGATGCTTAGTGGCTATTCATTGGCCTCTTGCAGCCCTTTTGCATGGTGGAAGGACAATGAGAAGCTAATCAAAGTTGCGTTTGCGGTGTTGCTCCTTGACTCTGAGAGATGCCAATTTCAGTGGCTTACTATGAGGAAAGGAGGTCCTTGGCACTAGATTCACTAGATGATGCTGGGACAAATGGGACTCAACATGACTCAACTTTCATTCTTCACCGCGTGAAAATTGATAATTCCATGATATTCCATTGTTCGTGCCGCTGTCGCATGGGATGCAATCTAAAGTCTGACGTCACATTGTGGTGTTGAGTCTCTTTGCTGCTTTACGGATCTTTACGGTGTATGAATGATATGAATGATTTTGCCTGCCAATCTCAATTGACACTTTGTGGTGCGGGTAAGGACTGCTATCCTCAAGATATGCACTCTGATATACGAAGCTCAGCTGCAAGAGAGTTAGCGGGGTTAGCGTTGCGGCATACGCCAAGATGTGCTGGGTATTGCTGAGTTATTAGGTGTCAGGATCAGGATGCACAGATGCTCCATGAGTTTTTAAGGTGGGCGTCCGTCTTGAGAAGAGCGAAATGCTCAACGCACAGAAGAGCAGCTCGTCCAGCAGAAAACGCGAATCAACTGAAGGGTTCAAGTCTTGCAGACCTTTCGATCATTGCTTCGAGCTTGCGAACTTGTGAGTTACAGTAATTACATGTAATTACTTTGCCATGATGCTCTCGCCATCTCTCGCCCTCGTGGGCCTCTTCAAGACTGGCAGAGGTAGTGAGATCATATGAGATTTGCCTTCGTTTCTGAATTCGTGTTGAGATGGAAAATCATGAAATACAATATACATAAATAAATAAATAAATAGATAAATAAATAAATCAATAAATATATATATATATAAAACATATCATTTTCCCATCAGTGCGTTTTGATACCGTTACCGTTGTTGCAATTTTAGCACCCCATCCTCCACTGTCAGAGCCAGAGTGACTTCCAGCTGAGGAAAATGCCTTTCGGCACTTGCGATGGACATTTGTCTACCTTGCCTTCTCTTTAGTGCAGTGCTGCCCGAGGCCAGGGTTACCCTTGACCAGACAAATTACTCAGCGGGTTTGGGGGCCCTTCTTGGACATTTGACATACCATGACATACTCCTAATATACATTGATGAACACTGAGAAGATGCACCCCGTGCATTCTCAACTCCAGTTCCCTCGCCCAAAGTGCATCAAGTTCACTTCCAATACTTCCGATTTTAAGTGCAAACGTAATATATTAATATATGTAACATAAAGTAACTATGAATCAATTATGAAATTTATGAATCTACATCATCTCTTGGGCAGACTTGACCAGTGCAGGGTGACATTGCCCAGCCGAATTGAGGCGGACGCCCAGTTGTTGGTGGAAGGTTGGGAGCTACTCTTGTGGCCCTTCATCTACGCCACGGTGGGGCCCAAGTGTGAGATTTCGTCGATTTTTAGTTTTTTTTTTAGAGCTTGATTATATACAAGCTTGATGAACATGACTTGGGCACCGGTATCAGTGACTGGCTCTTCCAGCAGATCCAGCCAGACTTTGCCAGACTGCATTCACAAATTTACTCGATTGCAAGTTGCTTTGGTGCCTCATACAGTGCCCAAGTCTGCGCGTTGTCCACACGTTGGGTTCAGCCAGGTGAGCGCGCTCCTGGGGGTACTTTGCTGCATGGCTGTTGGCATCCCGAAGCAACACCTTGGAGCAGCAGCAGCTGCTTGGCTCAGCTTGCCATTGACAAAACTCTGAAGATCTCATGAGTTGGTTTGATCTGGGGGGAACCCCCTCGCCAGGGGGATTGGGTGTGCTGACTTGTTTGGAGAAAGAACACGAAAGAACATTGTTTTAGACAAGAGTAGACAGGCATATCCCAAGTTAAGTTTCAAGTCTAAGGTATCGTTTGCAGATGAGCTGAGTTGGCCTGAGTTGGCTTTAAATTGTTGAAATGATTTCAGAGCCAAGTTGTTGTACGCTTTGGTGAAAGAGCCATTACTCTCAGCAAAGTGTAGGGGTGGCGATGCTGACGCCAAGGCCTGCGCGGGCTTTCCGAACGTGAATGGCTTTCCAGTCTCTGTGGTTAGTGCTCCAATTGCACCTTCCAGCCCTATCCAGTCGTGCTTCAACACGGTTCCAGTATGTTCCAGTCATATTCTACTCTCTTGGCCCACCACCAGGATAATCCAGAAAACGCGCATATTGACTTTAGAGTGACCATGGCAGTGGCTATTGAAAGTTCATGTTTCTGGATCAAAAGCAGTCACCGTGCCATGCAACTTACATTAACCAAGCATGTATTGTTTGATATTGTTTGTCGCATGCTATCCAAACCTCTGTTCCATCGTTTTGCATGATCCCTGCTCGCCCAACTGCCATGCAATGGGCTCGACTTAGGTGCCCTCGGGAGTGCCATTCCAGCGTCTGAAACTGGCTACTCAGCAATCGTGTTCCTCTCCATCATCCAGCTAACAGCACCGTGGCATGCGAGCTCATCAAAATGAGTTGCAACAGTAAACCAATGCGCGGATTTGCTGCGCCGCAATAATTTGAGTGGGTTCATATGAAAAATGAATAAAAATGATGGATGGCCATAGTGTCACCCAAAGGACCTCTTCTTGGACATGAGTACGTGCAATAGATTTTTTTTGGTTCCTAATGATTATACAGTGGGTACAAGCCGTGCAAGACTTCCGGGGCCTTGGACATTTCGGCCCAACGCATCCCTCCGGGTTTCAAGCTACAGGATGGCCTCCTGAAGTACACCTTGGGCCCTGCGATCTTCCGCAGAGACCGGCGTGCTCGGAACCTTGGGAGCAGTCATGATATGCCCCTGGGGCATTCATTGCACAGCATCCAGGCAGGACAGCTGTCGTAGATGGTCTTCCAAGATTGCTGGCATACTGCATAATACTGCATATTATCACTAAAAAATAACTCACTTATACGTACATATGGTACGTATAACATATTGCCATATTGTCATCATGATTGTTTTGTATTGATGTGTATTGGAATCATATTGGTACATTGTTGTTACAGTACATGTTGTTACTATCACCATAGCCATTGTGGACATTGTGGATATTTATCTTTTGCCTCGGAGATGGAAACTTGGTCCAGTCATCATTGTGCCAGGATGTAAATGAGCAGGCAGCGCAGCCCATCGACGACGATAAGACTGACTGGGGACTAAGTCATGACCAGGCCTTCCGAAATGCTTTCCGATGCTTTCCGAATGCTAGTTGTCTCAATTTGTTTCTTTCTTCGGTGAATGCGTGTTCTACTTTGAAAGGATGGCGATGTGGAGATGTATACAGATTTCTGTTCAAGATAAGTTTTGACAAGAGCTTCAAACAACTATTCCTGCTTGGAGGTTGCGTGGGAAATCTTCATCGAATAAGATCGAATAAGTCTAGTTTTGGGATCCTGTCCAGCCAGGTGTGCTGTGTAGAGCCAGACTGGAGCCGATTCGATTCCTACCATGTGCCTCTTGGACCGCTTGGACCTGTCACTTTCTTTTTCCGCCCAGATATGCCCAGATGGCATCAGATGGCCAATTACCCAAGTCATTTTCAAACTTGGCAACGACATGAAACGACACCGGATGGATCCGGATAGATCCTCCTGCACAAGGCGTACGCTTTGTTGATTTTGTTGGTCCGCTTGATTTGACGGATCTTGACGGTGTCAATTTTTTTCTCAGCGGTTTGACATGGTTTGACCGCCAGCCTTGGGATGCCGCATAGGTTTCAGGAGCGACCGTCTCGATGCATGAACGATGCGAAATGCTCGCCGCTGTTGCAGCGAGAAAAGTTTCAGGACGGTTGAACTGGGGCATACTGGGGCATACTGGGGCGAACTAAAAGGTATTCGAGAACCGGAAGCATTCTGCGCTTGAAACAAATATGTTGTTGTAGAATTTTGCTATACTTTCTTGACTTTTATTCTACCTGGTAGAACATGACATTCCGGTAGAATATCTGCAGAAAGATCTCAAGTCGCCCAAACGGTACCGATATGTGGCGATCAGTCGGCATGTCACAGCGCAGCATCTCCCGGAGGAGTCGCGTGTTGGAGGACTTGAGAGTTGGCGTTGGTCACTGTCGGTGCCTTCGCTGGCAGATTTCCAGGACGTGCTGCGGCAGATCATGCCGCCGCAGGCGGCTTGCCTAGACTAAACATGACTAAACAAAAAAAACATACGTATATTATCATATATTATCGTATATTCATTATAGATGATTTTGTCTTTAGGTTGAAGGGCCGGGAGCTGGTAGACTTTTGGTAGACTTCTGTTAGCCTTGTAAAATCTTAGCTCTTCAGCTGCAAGCTCATGCAAGATTTCATACTCCCTACAGCTACCAATTGAGTTTACTTGAGCCTTCAGATTTCAGATCTCTAAGAAGGTGTACCGCACGCATGTCTACAACTGACGGCAACCACAATGGAAAATCACCGTGGAACATCTATCACTTGGTCTCCTCTGCAGTCTACCGGAGAGTATATTCAAAACACTTTGGTCATCTAAATGTGTCATCGTCATACGTATGGAATTACATTTGGAATCCCACGTGTTATTCGTTTCATTGCTATGAACTTCTGTCGGATTCGCCAGCCGAAGCGCAGGTCACAGCTGTCCTTCTAGCTTTAGCCATTGGCCTTGGACCTGCCTGGGCGAAAGGCCTGCTGATTCCGGCAAATGAGGCGCACAGGGGCTGTGCGCACAGGGCACCTGAATCTTCCAATAAGAACATAGTAAGAACATATGGAGGTTTCCTAAAATAGGGGTACCCCCAAATCATCCAAAATTAGACCATTTAAGTATTGAAACCTATGGTTTTGGGGAACCCCCATTTTAAGAAACTCCCATATAGGGGATAAAATTACATCACAGTTACATTTTACTTGTTGTGTTATTTGTAACTCACATCGACGCCTGGTTTTGAAGAAGTCATGCCATGAAAGCAGCAGGGAGAGAAAGAGAGAGAGAGAGAGATTCAAGAGACAGTCTAGAAACGGGAAAGGCAGGCTTGATGGTAGAGGTATGCATCTTGCCCTTCCCGTAGAGGTATGCTTGTGTCCTTTCCTTTCTACTATACTTACTATACATTGCTTGTCGAGCACGATATACAAAAAGGGCTAAGATTTGAGATGCTCCGACGGTCAGGAGAGCTTTGCAGCCTTGGGCTTCATCTACGGCGTAGCGCAGGACTGAATGCTCCCAGGTTTTAGATTTTTCTGGCAATTTGTTGTTCTAAAATGTTCTAATTCTCTCATGATTTTGCAAGTGTGCAATGCAAATCACATGCTGGACCGGCTGACAATTTGACAGTGGGCTGGGTGAAGTGGATCCCAATGGATATTTGCTTAATGATTGGACATATTTGAACATGTTCATTCTTATACTCTCGGTTGATTCCTGGATTGCATGGATTTGATGTTTTTCCTTTGCAGTTTGGAACTGGTCTAGCTCTTTTTGGTGGGTTGTTTGAGCACAATGTACAGCCCTTTATATATTGCCGACATGATGTGCCCAGATGCCTTTCAAACATGTTAACATGTTCATATTTTCGGGCTTGGGCATGCCACAGCCAGGAACTTGGGAACGGATTCGTTCCTTTGCAGATGATTTCTTTGGGTGGCCGCATGCTGAACGTGGTGCGCAAGACTGGGGGCAACATGCATAGATTTGGAATCAGCTTGACAATCGAGTCTCCAAGCGCATGGTACATGCAAAGTGCGTTAGATACCGTTAGATTGTTAGAGAATTGCACTGTTTTTTTTCTCCATGTTTTTTTCTACACTGCAAGTTGGAACCATTTGAAACCTGGTGGCCTCCAACTTCATGTTGGAACCTGGTGTTTGGTTTGGACAGCTGATGACAGCTGCGTAACATTCCCCGTGACCCCGTCATACCCTGTCCAGAATCTCGCTCTAGCAGTGCCGTCAGCGCCGTCAGTGCCGTCAGTGCGTCTGCGTAGGTGGGCGACAATGGGCCGCTGGCCAGCAAACCTGCCAACAAACAAAACAGATCGAAATTGCTGCGGATTTCTGGCGCTGTAGGTCTGGCCAGGACGGATGGAGATCCCTGGAGCAATTGTGTAATTAGTGTTGCGACTTTGCTGGGCAATTACTAGAAGTATCATATAAATTCATATAAATTCATATAAATTCATATAACATGTATCAGTTGTCTTGAGAATGATCCCTTCAGTATGTGCACTGCAGTGGCGAAACCCAGTATACCTTTAGCCAAAGTAATCGATTTCAGCAGCCTTCCGTGCTATTTTGGCACATTTTGGCGCACATGTTACAACATGTTACGATGTTGCTGTGTGCGGCTGTGAGCCAAACCTGTGAGGATGATCTTGGCGCCCATTGTGCTTTACTTCGTGGCTTATGCCATTGACATCCACTATTTCCATCCTCGGGGCCAGACGCGGCCACTGGCATTCTGGGCACCAGCATTGATTGTGGCAGCGATGCCAACAGCCAACAACATGCACCTTGGTCGCCTTGGTCGCCTTGGTCCAGTTCTTGAGAGCTCTGAAATGAGGTTGGTTTATATGGGTGTGTCTGAAAATAGTGTACCCCTAAACCCAATGGTTTTGCTGATCATTATCCCTATTTTTTATGGCTATAATTGGGAATATACCCTATTTTCAGACAAACCCATATGGAGATATTAAAGGCATTTAAAGACAAGGTTCGCAGGTCTATAGAGACACTGGACTATGGGCACTCGTTGCTATGCAAATGGGATGAGAATGAGATGCCAAGCAGGATGTAGGAAGATCGGAAACAGCCATGACAGACCATGACATGACATGATGATGATGATGATGATGATGATGACTATTATTATTATTATCATGATGAATTATGACATCTTATGACTACGTAATATTATTACTACTATATACATTTGTATGCTACCATTATTTTGCAATGCTGCCGTTTTAAGGAGCACTATGGCAGACCTCATCGGCAGCGGGAGATCAATTGCTGCAGCCACAACGGCCATGCAGCTCATGGCAGCTCCTGCAGCTCTCCTGTAGCCTGTGGTGGCACTGCTGATTGTGTATTATATGTAATCCTAACTTTCAACCTGCAGTCATCAGAGAAGTAAACTCTACGCACAGAAACCTTGCCAATCCAATGTGATTTGGCTCAAGCACTGAGAGAAACAGGTGCGTCTCGGTTGCGAGCTGAAACTGAAACCAATAAAACTTGGTTATCAGCCGTAGCTTCGCCATACCTGCGGCTTCTCTGCGCTACGCTTGCTGCATTCCTGCGCTGCGCTTGCCTACGGCTGCTCTTGCATCTTCATTCTCTGTCTTTCGCCAGTTCGCTGCTTCAACAGCTTCTTGGGATCCTGTGTTACCAGCCTTTGAGGCGGAGCATATGGACAAAAGGGGTGGTCGTGACACTAGTGGGCATCACGCTCCAAAATCCCCTCAAGACAAGTTATCTGTTGATTGGCGTCCGAGAAGGGGTGGAAAGAAAGCTCGAAAGCAAGCCAATTTGTTGCAGTCAAGACTGTTTGTTCAGTTTTTGATCTATAACGGGATCATTTCTGGCGTTGAGGAAGAAGGAAAAGGATTTGAGAAAGGTTTTGGTAAAGGGTTGGCATCTGGTTCCAACACTGTTGTCACGAGTGAGTCGTCTGTTGCCACGTTTGGTTGAAACAGCTGTTACTAGCAAGTCATCTGTTGCGGTTCCCAACCCAAAGGCGCATTTGGTTGAAACAACGGTTGAAACTGTTGATGACCCGGAAGAAGAGTTTCCTTTGTTTCCAGTGCTCAGCAAAGCGCCTAGCCCAAGGGTTGTTGGTAATCCGTACGTTGATCCTGTTCCAGTCCCAAAAGTTGGTTCGGTTACCATTCCAAAAGGAGGGATTCGTCCTATTTCACCGGCAACTAGCCTTCGTCCTGGTGTAACTGGGCGTAGGCGTACTCCAATTGCACCTCCTCCAATTCCATCAGCTTCTTCAAGTTCTTCTGTTGTTCTAACAATTCCAAAGAAGGCCAGACCAGAAGAAACTCCTGGTGTATCCCATTTTGTTGCCCCGAAGGCGCATCCCAACGGATTCTTCGACCATTTGGGACTTTGAGGAACGCTGATTGCTACCTGGCTGAATAATTGGTTGGATTGGTTTGGAGCACAGTGGTTTGAACGGGCAAACAAAGGAAAACAGCAGCATTCATGCGAAAAGGGCTGTAGTCATGAGCGTAGGTTCATCATCTTGAGTGTGTCACTTTCGTCAGGGACAGGTCAAGGTGCGTCAGCTATGCCAGCGATCGCGGATCGTGCTAGCTCGGACTCGAGGTCATCGTCAGTCAGGTCGGCTTCTCATGTTCGGAAAGACGCCATAAAAAGGTCTTCATCTGTTCCTAGGCCTCAGTATAGAGCGGACTCTAGTAGTGGCCCCGCTAGTGTCACATATCAGCAGATGAACGCGGTTTACAACGAAGCGCCAAATGCACAACTGATTCATGCAACTGCCTCGGAAGTGATGCATTCAAGAACGAGTGAACAAGAAACAGTTAGACAGGCAGAGCAACATGTGCATCAGATTCATTCAGAAGCGGCCCAGGCCGTGAATCAAATTCGCACTGAGGCCACTCAAGCTGTCACTGAGGCGTTCGTGAATAGTCAATCTCAGGTATCTCGCACTCAGCTGGAAGCAACCCAGCATGTTGCAGAGCTTCTATTTTAGTTGCAGGCAAGGGAGCATGAGCTCATGAGTCAGGCCCAGAGATTGCAAAAAGAGGCAGATGACGCTCGGAGAGAAACCGAGTCTATGAGATTTAAGAGTCAGAATGCCGCGGCTACTAATGAAGGGTCGTTGCAATCGAAGATTGAGTATCTCCACGGGAATATGTGTCGAATTGACAAAGAATTGCAGAATCAGAAAAACATGTTGTCCCAGTTCATGGAATCATTCAACCTACTCGGGGAAAGGATTGACCAGCTTGAGCAATGGTACGAAGAACCGCAGCCACCAGCAGACGATGATGAGGAGTTGATCCCAACGAAACAAAACTCACGGAGTTTGATTTCTCCTGTTGGTTCCCAAGGATTTCTCACACCAGTTGGTTCAGCGGTAGGTCGAAACCTTCCACCGTTCTTTGAATCTGATCAACCACCTCGTGCCGTCGCGTCAATTCACCAAGGTGAAGAGGACAGTAGGAGTTTGGATTCACCAAGGTGAAGAGGACAGTAGGAGTTTGGAGGAACGTACCATCAGTTTCAAGGAAGCTGCTTCACTCAGGTTGCCAGCACCGCCCGAGAACGCAGGAGCACTTAGGCAGTGGAAGAACACCTTGGTTCCTATGCTGAACAGCTTGGACAAGAGCGCTGAAGGTCGAGTCTACTACTGGCTCATGGAAGCGTTCCAAGCGAAGACGCCATTCGAGATCCAAGCGCTTAAGGAGAGTAGCGGGGATTTTCCAAAGTTGGATCGGATGGTTTGTTCTTGGTTAACCCGTGGGGAGGCACTGGAAGGGCAGTTTGGACCAAGAATCCAATCCTACATTGAAATGTCAATCACCAATCATCAAGTGTTGCGTGGTAGGCCTATTCTGAACATGATTGTTCGTGAGTTTGACCTTGATGGTGCACTGGGAGGTGTGATTAGTGCAGTGGAGTTGTTTCAGATTCCTAGCCCAGAAGGTGATTACTCCTCGTTGGTAACATTCCGAGACAAGGTTCAACATGTTCTCACCCAGTTGCCAATTGCTGAGAGGCCTTCTGATGCCATGCTTTCCAAATGGCTGTACGAAAAATTGAAGAAAGTGAGATCATTTTCAATCGTCATTGACAGAATCAAAGAATCTGTAGTTGGTTCCAATGAAAGAACGTTCGATTACTTGTGGAGTAGACTCATGCGACACATTGCCGAGCAACAGCATGACAAGAATTTGTCTTCAACCCAAGAAGGTTTAAGGAAAGGTCCCAGGAAAACCACATCAGGTGCAACAGCAAAACCAGAGCCCAAGGCTAAGTCAAAAGTTGAAACCCCTGATGCTTCAGGTGCCGTTGCCAAAGCCAAAGGTAAAGGGAAAGGCAAAGGCAAAGGTAAAGGTAAGACCAAGTCTGAACCAAACACCACCAAACCGCAGGATTCCAAGAACCCGGGGGGGTACTTCGACTTCTCAAGGTGATGGGAAGACGGGTCCATGCATCTTTTTCCCCAAGTGACTTTGTCGTCGCGGCACGGATTGTCCTTATCGACATGAGGGCACCCCTGCTGCAGTCCCAAAGGCAAAGGCGAAGCCGGCAGCTGTGGCCAAGCCAAAGGCAGCTGCTATGGTTGCTTTGGTGGGTTCAGTGATTGGTGGGGCAGCAGCGTATGTTCCACCAACAGTTCAAGAGGTCTATCAAGTTGAATGGGCACTGGATAGGGGCACTGGATAGGGGCACTGGATAGGGGTGCTGGTGAACATTTAGCATCACGAGAGGCACTTGTTCACCAGGGTATCCCTCAATCTGTCATTGAAGAATGTGAAGCAACATGTTCTTCCAAACCCTTGACTTTTAGTACCGGGGGAGGTCTCAAAGAGGCCGATGTGACCATCAAAACTCAGGGAGATTTGCTTGGAGATGGAATCGTATACATGTTGCGCAAATGTCCATTTGTCAAGTCATTGGGGCAGTTGGTTCAATCAGGATTCTCTTTCTTTTGGGGTCCCAATCATGAACCGACACTTGTCCCTCCAACGATGGGTTTCGATGTCAATTGTGACTTCTCCAAATGTGTTGTTGCTGATCGAGTTGAACACTGTGTTCCAATTTTCAAGGAAGAGGTTTCTTTTGTTCATGGGGTTCCTGCTGCCGCCCCATCAGCATTTGATGCGGGGGACGGTGAGGGAGTCTCACGGGTAGAAGACACTGAACCAGCTTCCGAAGCGGTCGGATCTTTATTGAAGTTGCTGATGGAGATTTTGTTGTCGGTCTCATCGAACCCATTTCACATGATCGTGAAGCACCAGACTTTGCGGTTGAAACACCCGAGGGTCTCAAAGACTTTGAAGTTCACACACCGATTGAGTTGATGCCAGATTTTTCCGCTGATGTCCCTTCCAAAGGCGCCTCGGATCCCAAGGATCCCAAAGACCTCAGCCCAGGCGATCCACCAGATATGCATGTCTCTCGAGGTACAGGCCATGTGCCTTTTGATCATCTTCTATGTCATCAACCAGCATCTCGGCATTGTGATGTGTGTCGTCAAGCTAAGCTTCGTCAACGTCCTCACAAGAGGTTTCATAACCAATCTGAATCATCAAGGGCAGCTCAAGTCATTGAAGCTCCAACTGAATTCTTGCAACGAATCAGCATTGATCACATGGAATCTACGGAAGAAGGGCTCCGGGGGGAACAGTATGCCTTGATTTGTGTTGATCAGTTTTCTGGGGTTTTATATGCTTATCCTTCCAAGTCCAAGTCCCAAGCAGCAGTTGAGTCGGCTTTACGCTACTTTTGTCGTGGTAAGCGACCGGTGGTCGCTTCGGATCGATATCCCAGTCTCTTGGCCGCAATTCGCGACTTGCACATGGTTTCTGATCCAGCGGCTCCCAATTCCCCGATTCATAATGCTCTAGTGGAATCTTCTATCAATGTGATTCGTCAGGGTACTCGTTCCCTGTTGGTTCAAAGTGGTTTGAACATCATGCATTGGCCTCGTGCCATGTTGTGTTTCTCCTACCAGTATGATTTGAGTTCACCTCCAGCTTTGGCTGACGGTTCGTTACGTGCAGCTGCGTATGAACATCAACTTGAATTACCTGAAGGGGTTGAAGCCCCTGCGCTCCCACCGATTGAATTTGACAGCCAATTGCACATTGCATTGACGTACCAGCCTGAACCTCGTATGTTGCCTTTTGGTGCCATGGTTTGGTTTCTTGGGAAGTCCAAAGACCCCACTAATCCCAAATCTCTAAGTCCCAATGGTAAACCTGCTATTTATGTTGGTCCCGAGGTTCATTCCGGCATGCGTTGCAAAGATGTTCATGTCCTGTTAGACTTGACCCTTTTGTCTTCGTCAGATCGTGTGAGA